CATTTTCAGATACGACTTTATTTCTAACAAAGGCATGGAAATTGTAGATACGACATTCACATTTTGAGATATATAGCCTATAATAATAACAAATTTGTCCTTTTTTCTTAACAAAATGATAAAACTGATGTCGTGGAGTATTAGTAACCCTGTACTTGAAATTGGGGATAATTGCAGTTACGACTTTATGGCTTAACAGGGCAGAATACCATGAATCAAATATGACAAATTGCTGATTCATACATCAAACGACTGCTTTTTTATAAAGTTCATAATTACTGTAAGTTGTGGGAAGTTCTATTCATTCTACTGATAACTCATTACTAATTAATTTTTTACTTGCGCCAAATTAAATTAACCAGTGGTTTCAGCATCTTGTGTAAAAAAAATAAATGACTGCAATCTGCATATCCTCTTAGATTAATTAGCGGGCATTATGCAATACCTCATAAATTAACATCAAACAAAGCAAAGCTCGATTAATCATTAGAAGTTTGATGATGTTTATTATGATAATGATGTTTTCTTAGTCATTAAATAACAAACTCGGTCTTTTCTGGGAGAAAATAAGATTGACATTGTACAGTTCAATCTGAGGATGTAGCAGAATGCGCCATCTAGTGATGTACGTGATGATGAAAGTCATAGGCGGCTGTGTTAAAGCTTAGACTATATACACTATAGTCAAGGGTTAAAGCTGAATAACGGTATTTTATTCTTTGAAACTTTAACGTGAAACTGAAAAAAATTGTTAATGATTTCTATTTTTTTCATTTTACACTTATAATGTATTACGAATTTGAATTGTTATATACATGAGACGCATAAAATAATAAAAAAAAGCATGTTTCCGCCCGGGATCGAACCGGGGACCTTGTGCGTGTGAAGCACACGTGATGACCACTACACTACGGAAACCGATGAATGCGATTTGCCAGAACAGAATACTAATCAGAATGTAAATACATATACTAGAATATCATTTCGTAATAATCAATGTAAGTATTCTTTCAGCACATGCTTCTATGGCAAAAATATAATTTTCTTGCATTTATTTTAAATGCAATTTACTTTTAACTATAGTGTTTAGTCTTTTTTATTTAACATTAGTGGTTTTATGTCTTTAACGCTAGTGCCAGAGATATACTTTTAACATTAGTGATAAATCAATGTACCTACTGTGAATATTATTGGCTTAATTTTTGCAACGAAAGAGGATAATATTACATAAAGCGGTCCAAATGGATACTCGTGTCATTTTTAACGTTCTCTGCGGTTAACATTATAGTCTCTTAAAGTAATTTAATGGCGTTTATTAGTATTGCAGAATATCAAAATAAACAGAGAACGCCATTTAATTCACTGCCTTTTCATCGTAAAATCTCCGTTAATATCCCCAAACAAATAATTAATATACGCAGTTTACTGCAGCATAAAACTGAGTAAATCATCAAAGCTTAAATGTGGTATATACATGGACGACTGTAACTTTGACCTCTATATAAATTTTTTAATATTGTGTAAGTATTTAAAGTAGGTACCTTATCAGAAAATGCCTTTAGCTCTGTCAGTAATAAGCATTTAATTAAATACTTAAAAAACATACAAAAATGTGAATTCATGGTAATGAATCCATTAGTCGGGTATTCCCCGAACTCCCATTGCGTGATTTGTTCCTCTCTATTTCTAAATATGAGAAAAATTTAATTTTTGTCCCCACTAACCAAAAGATATATTTCTCAGTCAATTATCTGAAATGTATGCAACCCAAAATACAAGACAGTTTAAATTATTTCACTTAATAAATGAGAAATTGCAAATTTTATAATTTTATTTTGTTTTTCTATAAAGTTCTCTAATATTTTCAGACCATTAACTTTAGTCTAGTTGGTAGTTTGTAGAAAAGCACTTTATTTTGGTGTTATCACATACGATAATCTACCAAGCTGAAAGCTGCCAAATGAGTTGCTTTCATCCGAGCAATCAGACTTTGCTTCCGACAAACAAAAATGAATTTAATAAGAGATAAACTTCTAAAGTAGGTCAGACTGGAAAGTTTTAACCCATATTCAATCTAAGGCATCGGAGATTTTCGTTATTTAGTAATGGACAAAGGGTCAGTATAGACTAAGAAAAAGTTTTAGTTAAGTAAAGTGTTTAAAGTATACAAAAATTTTATATAACTATAAAGCTAATGCGTGCATTTTAAATCGGTTGTATAAACAGTATTTTCTCCAGTGACGACTGATGAACATCAAAGTGGTCATATTTTGACATTAAAACATGGGGCTCATACTATTTTTTGGAGAGAGATTCCTTGTATCTCAAAAAACAAAAAATGAGCATATAAATCGTCCACTAAAAAACAGTATGGGTCCCATACATAACCTTGGTGGTATATTGAGTGAAATACGTCCTACCACCAGAATAATTAAAACAGCATAGAAGTCTTCATAATAATGCAGGACGTCCTATGAACACGATATCATTCCTGAAATATTTTCAATAAAATAAAAAAGTTACAGTTTAGTGAACGCAATGTGTTTCTTGGATATAGGTATTGCATCGGAATGGTATTAGTATGATATTGTATGAAACAACTGCTCTGCGAACTATAGCCCTTTCCAACAATGATTACATCTACAATATCTTAAATAGTAGGTAGAAAGCAATGTTTTATTTCACGGACAATTAAGAATATAATACATTTGAATTTAAACAAATATGGAAGCTAAAAGTTACTCAGAATCCAAGTTACTGCCTTTACCACCGCCACTTTGGCACTGCTTTTGTTTATGACAATGAAATTTGCTTGTAGAATATATAAAAGGAGAACATATTTGTCATTAGTAAATTGCCAATGTAAGGGATATAAGAAGGTGGAATGCAAATTTTATGAAGAAAGCTATGGGGAATTGTCAACTGAACTACGCAGGTCAGTTCAAGGTCAAATGTTGACTTTTACCGTATTTTTTATTTTTATCTAAGTAATCAGAAGGAGTGACAGTCTAAATACCTGATGGTACCAGTGGCCGGATTATTCCCTACTCTCGCCTTCAATAGTCGTATTATCTTTCAGTTTTAAGGTTAGGATTTCATCTGCGACCACCAAAAAATTGTTAGTCCCTTCTATTCCATCGTCGAAAATAAAAAATAACAACCGGAATAATCACTTAACCTCTACCTGACCTTGATCATTGACCTTAAAGTCACGTTTAAAATCATAATAGCTCGTAGAATTCTACAGTATCCTATTTCTAGCGTTGAAATAAGGTGTTGGTTACTCCAAAAACCGATATGACCTTGACATGTTCTTTTGACCTTGACCTCAAGATGAAAGGAATACCATCAGGTATCTACTCAAAAACCGTCACTCCCTCTGATTCCTTGAAGTCACAGTCAATATCATATTCAGAATTTTCTGTTCTTTCTATTCCCGTGGTTGAAAAACAGGGTAGCCATTTAAAAATCCGACTTGATCTTGATATGACCTTGAACATTGACCTTGAGATCAAGGTCAAGATTACCATCGGATGCGTCGTGAAAGATACTGAGACTTTTGTCCTCACCATTTATCCCAAAAATGCTTTCTCGCTGAGATATTTGGAGGTTTCCGTACTTTTGACTAATCCACATATTTGATACACTCTCCCATTACAACCAAATAATGTGACAATAAAGCCATTGGTAATAATTATACACATACAGATGCGTTTTGGAGATCAGTAAGCATAAAACCTATGAGATTGACCAGTACGTTGTAAAATATCTTTATCTTCATTTCTAGAAAATATAAGGATAAGACAGGAAGGATTAAAACTATTGGACTCTCTAAGTTTAATCAAAGGCAAACTGGAGAGATCGTAGATTTTGCCAAGATAAATTCAGATGGTTTCCGACTTGAATTTCAAGTCCCTTTTCAAGAACAGGTCCTATAGAGATTTTCCAAAGTACAGTATTGCTGTGGTTGCAGATTCTCGTTCTAGTTCCAGGAAGTGGACTAGAACATAGTTTTCGGGCCAAACGAGATCTTTGTAAATAAAGTAAATGATTAATTTCAGCTGTTGTCAAAATATTCCCTTCTAACTTACTTTTCACTGAAGATATTAAAATAATTGCAGGGAAGTACAGCATGTGGTATCTCCTGCAGGAGGATATCGCCGCTGTACAAACTTCGAGAGACTAAAGTAAAATTTGATGCACCTGATTTTAAAATTAATTCTGATGTCTCTAGAAGCAAGATTTGCTAGTTTCAGATTAATCTTAGGGTAAGTAAACGTTATATTTTATTATGATGATGTACTTACTGTAATATACTGAAAAACTAATCAGCATTTCTTGCATCGGACCCCTGAAGATATAGTCAATGATATGTCTTTAAGATTTTCCATTAGATTTGCCATCGCCAAATTTTGTTTGTTTTTGATTAAGCCCCTTTCTAGTATCACAATTTGGTTTTACATTAATTCATAATGTACTTCTTTTCAATTAAATCATTTGATTATTTATTAATTTACTGCACCTCTTATTTAATCCAATTTGTTTTCAAAGTTAAATACATTCTGTTGACTTTTACATTTCTTTTAATTATATCTCAAGGTTGCAAAACCTACTAAGATAGTTAGTAGTTGAATGAATGATATTTCTATTGTAGGCATAGTAAGAGTAAACAATTCGATTATAAAACCATTAGCAACTTTATGCATCATTAAAACAATTTTTCTCTTCGAGAATTAAGTAAAATCCTGATAACTCCTTTGGGAATTAGGAGGTTTTTTATTATACCATACAATCTAAACTCATACTGTAAAAATGTCATGTCATCTACTAAAGTTCGTGCTAGTAATTGGCCTACTACGATGTACGGTTGAATAGATTATGATAATGTGTAATATATTTTATTTTTTATATCCGCAATTAAGAATGCTTACATTAATTAACAACGTTATTACTATACAGATATAGTAATAGGCAAGGTCATTCATATTTTAACTGTTTATTTTAATTCTTTTTATCCATTATCTGTCACAGTTAACAATTGGGACTATTATAAGGCCTAGATACTACAGATGTCAGAACATTATTTTGTGAAAGGAAACTCCGGATGTTCCACAAACCTGGAAAAAAGAAAGGCTGGTGTATGTGAAGACGTTACAATTTTAAATAACAAACTAAAAAATATCAGAGAACTCGTGTCAAACCTACGCTGGAATTCTGAAATTAAACACCCGAGCATCCTCCCCAACTTCAAGATCATCCAAAGCCTTCATGTCTGTGCCATCCAGAGAAAAATCAAACACATTTATATTCTCCTTGAGTCTAGATGGAGTGACGCTTTTTGGTATGGCTGCGATACTCTTCTGCAGAAGATAGCGTAGCATTACTTGGGCGTTAGTTTTTTTATGTTTGGAAGCTATTTTCTTGATGTTTTCGTCGTGGAGCATGCCTGGCAGCTTTTTTGGTCTGAAATCAAAAAGACAACTTCATTCTTGTTATTAAATGGTCAGTGTTTGATTTGCGCGTTCTGTAATATTTTTTTGTCTCTAAAAGAACCATTTTGACTCCCAGCATACTTACTTTTTATCAAGCTTAACTAGGTACTTGTTGTATCCCGGAGATCCCAAAGGAGAAAAAGCCACCACAACAATTCCATTTTGGTGGCAGAAGTCCACCAGCTCTCTTTGCTGTAAGTAGACATGTAGCTCGACCTGTAGACATGCTGGCTTGATTTTAGAAAACTTTAATATCCTATTAATCTGCCTGATATTAAAATTAGATAATCCAATAGCCTTGGTTCGGCCAGCGTCAACTTGTTCTTCCATTTTCTATAAAAAAGAGAATATACAGAATTAAACAAAATATATGCCTGTCAAACAACACTTCACCTTCCAAATGGCTATATGGTCGGTTTCTGCAGTTTGTATAGTATCAAATGTTCTCGGAGTTCCATCTACACCATCCTTAGTTCCGATGGGAGCATGTATCAAATACAAATCAACATAATCCAACTGCAACCTATCCAACGATATTTTCATAAACTTCTCTACTCTGTTCTTTTCCATTGCCACCATTGGAAGCTTGGTGGTTATAAAAAGGTCTTCTCTCTTTAATTTTTTGGAAGAAATCCATTCTTTCAATATGCGACCAATAACTGCTTCGTTTTTGTAAATAAGCGCAGTGTCAATATGGCGGTAACCCGCTTCAAGAGCGGCATTGAGGGCAGTTTCCACTTCCTTTTCATCAGTAGCCTACGAAAATGGGCATCATAAGCAGCTTTACCAGGATTAAAGTGTTGAACTATGAAGGAAAATAATAATTTCAATGTGTACGCCTTCCAACAGAAATAACATCGAAAGATGGAGTTCGGAATGAGTAAATATAATAAATATAACGCACTACATACAGAAAAAAAAAAATGGAAACGTGAATAAATCGAAAACCTGGAAAAAGTACCCACCTCAAATGGAAAAACTACAAATTGCATCATGCCGCAACAAAACGATCAGTAGTTTAAAAAGAGATTGTGCCTCCTCCTGAAATCAAATCTTAACTCGAAGAACTTCTGTAAAGCCAGTAGCATGTCCGCCGTGAAAATCCCTACATACTCCTTTGGTGTAACAAAAAAAAAAAACAGAAAATATTAATATATTAACTAGAACACAATTAACAAAAAATTAGAAACTAAATCGCAAATCATGTAAAGAAAGAACAACATTGATAGATAAGTGGAAGAGAAATTATAGATCAACAAGAATTGTGCACCAAATTCTTAAAATCCTGCTTCCATAATAAACAACATAATAGGTACATACAAATAGGTAAAAGTTGCGCACCTCTAAACCCATCGAGACAAGAACAGTCCATCTTCAATTCAATAGAGCAGTAGAAAACAAATTGATCTTCCAAACCGCTTCATGGCAGACACCATGATAGCGTCAAATAACGTCAACGGGAATCAATCTTACAAGTACATAATATCCTGACACTGAGGATTTCACTCTTGCAATTCAAGATCAGGCCACAAATGCCTACGAAAAAGCATAATCTGCAGAAAATATCATTTATTTATAGAAACTATAAGTATTGAATATACAGGGTGAATGAACTTATGTCAAAAATTTAAAGGGGTGAAAAAGGAGCAAAAACTGAGTTAACTGATGTCACAAACTTGTATCGGAAGTCTAAGGTCATAGAGAAAAAAGCTAATTAAAAATTTATTTAAAACTGTTTTGGAATTGCTGAAATACATGTATTTTATCGCGGCGAGTACTTACAAAAAATTCTGTGACACTTTTTACGAGTTCTGGAGTTATGGGGAGGGCAGCAAAGCTACAGCACTTAGGCCCCATTGGGTCCCTTGTACTTACTTTTTACGAGTTTGTAGGTTTCTTATAAAACCGGACTGTATTCGAAAGTCAGGTTGTAATACATTGTTGTAGTGATTGCTGTGCTGTTTTTCGAGAATACATTCAATAGCCGTATTTCCAAGTTTTCTCTGAAAATGACGCATTTATTCAGCAATTGAGAATATTATGATATGCTCATAATGTATGGCGAAACAAACGAAAATTCCCACAGAGTACAAACATGTCGAGGAGATGATGTTAGATCTCGTCGAAGATCTGCATCGTAGCACCAGAAATATCCTATAACAAGTAAATATTTCGTATCCTGTTGTGTGGCTTACATTACGAGAAGCTCAGTTATACCCATTTCATATTCAACGTGTTCAAGCGTTTACTCCTGAGGCTTTGCACTACGTCGAGGTTTTTGCGTATGGTTGCTTCAGGAACATGCAAGTAAGCTTCAATTTACAGCGCAAATACATTACTTTTCCCGATCACTGAATAGGTCGCAGCAGTCTAGTTAGATGTCCCCCCCCCCCCGCATTTCATCACTTTAGACTTCTTTTTGTGGAGATATGTGAAAAGTGTTGTGTATTCCACGGAAGTTCGTGACATCGACCAACTGCGATGTCGTATTGCCTAAACCTGTAATACGATTCGATAGGACGTGACAATGTTGCAACGCGTGCTAGCGAATTGGATACATCGCACTGAGGCTTGCGTGCAAGCAAATGGTGGGTACATCGAACATCTATGAAAATCAGCAGTTCTCAAAATGTGGCTCCTTGCAATGTTGAGGTAAGTCAGATTTTAAAATTACATTTTACTCAACACAAATCCGTGTATTTACCTCATTTTGACATAACGGACGTGTGGCCAAAATAATTGACATAAGTTCATTAACACTCTGTATGTACAAGTAGGCGTAGTATAGTATCAACTGCATACAGACATGGGTCGATATTATACACACACACTACAAACAGTATTAGAGAACAAATATTATAAATTATATTGGGACCCGACTATACGCACTGACAAAACAATTGCGCATAACAGACCGGATAAATCATTTCAGCATAAAATGAAAATACCACTTGTCTAATTGATATAGCAGTATCACTTGATCAAAATGTTATACTCAGAAAAGAAAGAAAAGTATTAAGAACCGGAAATAGAAACAGAAAGAATTTAGAAACGAAACGAGTGCGTGTCATTCCGTCTAAATATTTCAGCCACATTTATAACACCACATTTGCGCAAATAGCAGTAATTCTTCATATGTGTAATATAACAATATCTTTTTTAAATCAAAAATGAATTTCCAATGGCGTTCATCGGAAGGATAGACCAGAGAAATATTTGGAAAAAAATAAATACAATATTAAATCATTGAAATCATTGATAAAGATCAAAAAGTGTAAGAGTCTCAAATGGGATCCTTGAGGGGCGCTACTAGTTAATATAAATCTTTCAGCAAAAGCCATTGTAATAGACAAATTATTTTCCGCTACTTAAATACGATTAAAGAAGTAACAAATATTTTGTTATGAACCTAAACATCAAAGTTTTTTAAGTAGTACCCTTTAAATAACCCCGGTATTTTATCGAAAGACTTGGAGAAATCTGTATAGATCTCATCAATTTGCTTCTTCTTATATAACGTTTCATATAAAAATTTATTGAACGCTGCTGGTACTTGTAGTTTATCGCGAATTCATAAATGCAGGTTGGATGGTTGATATCAAATTTTATGTATATGGGGTTATATAAGTTACTCTCCAAAAGCTTTACAAAATTGTTTAAAATAGGTGTTAGTCTTATAATTCACATTATTATTTTGAGACTTATGTATTGGACATACATTAGCAATTTTCCAAATTTCCGGAAAGATAATAGAAATTGCCATTTTAAGTAGTCGATGCATTTTAATTTGGTACTTACCTCCCAAGTGCCCAGTCCTATAGCAGGCATTTTGAATCCTCCTGACATGTCCATAAAAATTTTTGCAGCCATGATTAGCAATCAGCAAGCACTATTTGCAATGTAGATATAGGTAGAACTAAATAGAAAAATAATAACATGCACCAAGAAAAAAAACTTATACCAAACAGCATTGAATTCAAAGAGAATAATATATTTTCTCTGGCACCATGTGCTTTGAAGTTCTTAGTCTGAATTCCACTGGAACTAAAATGTTTGTGCTTAACTACCTATCGATTTCCATAATACATAATATAAACTGGAAAACTAAATGTGTATCGATACAGGACCGAGTTTAGTATTAGAAAATTTGATTAGGAATTAGCAATTGTAATTACTTATTTCAATAAATACACTACCAACATGCGCGAACAGAAGTTGAATACAAAGTGAATTTGTATAAGAAACATTCATTAAGTAAGTACAAAAAATATACATACGGTTCAAAGTAATATAAAAATAATCGAGGCAAAAATGATAGGACTAAAACAATAATTGCGACATTAATTACAAAAAAAATATGGAAAATGTTAATGATGCCATTATAAAGGTAATTAATATAATAACAGCAGAATTATTAATAAAAAATATATATATTTCGCTCTGAGATCACACAATAATAAACAGTTGGTCTAAGAAGATGTGGAATATTATTTATTTTCCATACTGACTACAATGGAAATTATTGAAACTCATGTACGTATAAGAATAAGAAGAAAAATATTTCGAGGTCATGTTAATCTATACGTTGTGCAGCTATACCGCCATCGTAATTTAACTCTGAAAACATCGCTTGCATATCTTTCAAGAACAAAGTGTAGGTATTTTTTTAAATCAATAGGTATTTTTACGTTCATTTTTATTAAACATTTCTTAAACAATTTGAAAATGCTTTCGATGTCATCAACATCTAGGTATGCGAAAAAATAACTTCAAAAAGAGCTATCAATTATATTGTAGAAGACTCTGCAAACTAAAGCTAAAGCTAATACCTTACATATGCTGGTCTGTCAACCCCAGTGAGATGGATGTGGTTCTCTTTACGAGGAAGAGGAAATTGGAGCCAATAAAGTCATCGACTCTTCCAAACACCACGCTAAGCTTTGCAACGGATATGAAGTATCTTGGAGTCACACTCGATGCAAAGCTAACATGGAATCTTAAACTTGGAGGGAAGAGTAAATAAGACATACATATCCTAGGAGCCGTGCCGCAGACCCGTTGGTAAAACCTGGGAGATGAAACCAAAGCACCAGCTAAACAGAAGCTCAGGCAGATGCAGAGAATAGCTTGTCAATTTTAGCAATGGAGGTGATACTATGTCTGCCATCCTTAGAGGATAAAGGAGGTAACTCTGACAAGTATGCTTCGCTTCAAGGATGTTGATGTTAAACCAAATATAGGATATGGAGAAGTCAGGTGTCGCCTAGTGAATGAGGCCGTCAGGAAGATGTCTCTTCTGCAGGTAGACATTGACACCATTCCTCCTCAGTTTGTTTTTGACAGACCCTATACAGTACTCATCAAAAATGACCGCCAGTGAGGGTGTAATTAACATCTTCAACATCTTCACTGACGGATCAAAAAGGAAAGAAGATACAGGATGTGGGATCTAGATTCCTACACATCCGATATCAGTGGCCTATGGCTGTGCATGCCACCGTGATACAAGCGGAACTGGCAGGTAGCTGCTAAAGAAATTTCATCAGCGAGTTCCCCTTGAGCAATGTCATCATCTTTTTCTCTTTGATAGATTGGTTGACGGCTCACGAGAGCTGATCTCTCGCTGGGAGGATGCACAAGGAGCTCGATGAGGCTTAAGTGTTGTAACTCAGTATACCGAGTTACCCTCCAAACTAATCCAGAATGCCGGACATATTTAATATAATAATAATAATAATTAACCATAATAATTAACCACAATAAATCAGCTGGTCTATTCTAATATCCCTGTACCTGTTGATTTTGTTATTTATATTATTACATGCATTTTAATTATATATTACTATTATTAAAGGAATTATTTTGATGAAGTAGTTTTGTCGACTGTACAAATAGTAAATACCTCCTCATTTTAATTAAAATACTGGTATTATAGGCCCAGCGAATATATTTTCTTATTAACAAGTTTTTAGTAAATTTTTGCTATATAATGGTAGGAGAAATATTTTTTAGATAAAAGACTATCGATACGTTTAAACATTATTATTATTATTTTTTTTTTCATATTTTTGCTTTCCCTTTTCACTCGATTAGACAACTAACTCATATAGATATACCCTATTATTTCTACGAATCGATTCACTACTACTATTTTCTTCTTAAAACACATGTATGCAACCCAAAATACAAGCCAGTTTAATATGTCGCTTTGTTGATATCTGTATATTACTTCCTCAACAATTTTAATATTTAGAAACCATGAATTAAAGTCTGATTCTAAATTTATAGAAACTGCAGTTTACTTTCGTGTTCATTCGAACAATGCACGTCGAGTTAGATCCAGACCTAACAACACGTCTCTATGGGATAAAACTCATATCCAACATGTGAGAAATTGTAACACGTACATACAGCATAACCCAGTTTGAAGATATATCATCCACTAAGCTGAAAACTTCTAAATGTGCTACTCTAATCTGCACAGCAATGCCAACTTTTCTTCCATCAAATAAAAGAGAGTTTAAGAAGAAAAAAAGTCGTAAACTAGGTCAAGATTGGGAAGTTTTAACCCATCTCCAAGTTAATCTACACGTTCAAGATTGTCATTATCGGTAATGGGTTGCCTTAAACGCAAAAAGGGTCAATCTACACTAAGAAACAGTTTTAATTAAAGCTTACAAACCATAAAACGTTTATGATGTTTTAAAGCTAACTTTTCCCCCTTTTAAAATTTAAGTTACGCCTCTGAAGGTGATATACTGAGCTACAAAACAAATATGAATTACACCATGCCATCAGAAGGACTAAAATAATGACAGTAAAGGCCGTCGTAATAGCGGCACGTCCTGAGAAGATGAGATCACTTCTTCTGAATGCTTTCAGTGAAATGATCCCCTAAAATAAACATTCAAAAATATATGTGATGAACTACATATTTGCAATGTAAGTAAATTATAATTTTTATTATTTGTTTTCACTTGAACAATGTTCTGTATAAAGGATCAGCATCGATTTAATATAATTATAATTACTTTTTTGGAAACATCTTTTTGTTATAAAAGAATAAAGAGGTGAATAACTTTTCATAGAAATTTAGTTGACAGTATCTAAATAGCATAGCGAATTGAATTCAATTAAATTTAAACGAAAAGGAATTTATTCTAAAGCGTAAATCCCACAAAAAATTAGGTTTCTGTGTCATGGCAATCTAGATTGGGAGGTTGTGTCTATTGTATAGCACCTATAACATTTAATCTGTACAATTTTTAAATTAATTCTCTGTGAACGTAGTTCTTGTGAAGGTGCATTTACAATAATTTCGTCTCTACCATAACACATTAGAAATTAAGCAAATATGGCAGCTAAAATACTTATGGATATGCCTGACGACTTAAAAATGCCTGCTATTGGTCTAGGTACAGGATCAGTAAGTTTTTTTATTTCATTAAAAACATCGTAATTTTTCTAACTACCGTTTACAGCTCAGTCAGGAGGCTGAATTGGAGAAAACCTTAGACTCTGCCCTGAGTTTAGGCTACCGTCACATTGACACAGCTTTCGCTTATGACAATGAAGTTTTCATAGGAAGTGTGCTGCAAAAATGGTTTTCTTCCGGAAAACTTAAGAGGGAAGACATATTTGTCACTACCAAGCTCCCTATGTATGGAGTACAAGAAGACAGGGTCGAAATGTTTATGAAAAAATCTTTGGAGAATCTTCAGCTAGACTACGTTGATTTGTACTTGGTTCACTTTCCCATTGGGACAAAATATATTGAGAATGGAACCGATGATGATAATTATAAGGATATAGATGTGTTTGACCATTTGGAGATATGGAAAGTAAGTTAATATTGTGAGATGGTTGTGGCGTTGTAATAGTAGGTACATTTTCCATCAAAATATGAACATGATGTTTTCTGTGTAATCAACAAATTATCACATAGTTATTTATCAAGTGAAATATTACATAACCGTTTTTAATTATTTATCCCCTCTATTATTATTGAAGATAGGAAAGCAAGTTCAGAAAAAATTGTACAGATTTTTTCAAAATTTTTGACACATGATTGTGTCGTAATGAACTTAATTTTCTTTAATGGAGTAACAAAAGAGCTTTTACATTTTTTTTATATATGTATGATACTTTACGGTTTTCTAGATGTTACATTTTTTAATACAGTTTTACGTAGTTGCCTTGGAAGAATATTGGCTATTAAAAAAATTATGTTAATCTGTACTTAATCTTAATAATTAACTTAAAATTAAGCAAAATGCTTGCATAAGCAGAAAAGTGAGATATAGTGACAATTTACTTAAAATGTATGATACTGCGAGCAGAAAAATTTTCATTTTTATTTCATTTGTAATAGATAAAATTAAGAGAAAATACTTACTTTTTAGCGATATAATCTGTCAATCTTTTCCTTGAAAACACTTTAGAACAATCCCAAATGGGAAGCAGCAAAATGAAGATGGCGAATTGTAACATAAAACTAACTATGATACATATTAATAATAAATACGTATCTTAAAAACTATCATATGTAATATATTTGTAAAAAATTACTTTGGCGGTATTTTCTAAAACTATACAAGGTGTTCCATTAAAAAAACATAAGTTAGACTTATATCACGAAAATGCTACGATCAAATGTTTTATGGTACGTTTGTCAAAAATATTTACAAAACCCCCCAACTTTTGTTCTTACTTTTTTTTTTCGTATATCCAACAGTAATAAAGAAAGGTAGCATGAGCAATTTTCGTGTGACCACCCTGTCAGTATATCTTATTGAAATTAAATTAATTGATAAGTATGTTCATACATTTAGTTCGTTTAGTATTCACTTTAACATTGTCATTTTTTGTCAAAATTAAAATAGTATTTTCGTTATATTTACCTTGTAGGTAAGCTGTTGTATTGTTTGTTTTTGTTGCTATAACAACAGGCTATAATATTCCATTACTTCATTGGGAAAATAATATTATTGATTATATAAGCCAGGTGCTAGGCTATAAATAATATAGCCATTCAATGGCAAGTAATAGTTATACTTATTAACTATATACTTATTATTTAATTAATATAATTTGTGGTTTCAATTAATAAAATAATTTGACATACTTAATGTTACAACAACTGTTCAAAATGTTGTCCACCGACGCGCGACGTATAAACACATTTGTGTCCATCTTACTCAGTTTCTACGAACTAACACAAAAGTTGTCTTGCTTCACCATAACATAACTGCTTCATCATAATACAAATGTTGTCTTACTTCACCATAAATTAAAACGATATCCATCAGCTCCGAGCTGCTATACACGCAAGCCATTTTTGACGTTAACTACTAAAAAAACTATTGTAAACACTACGCAACGACGATTGTAAAATCGGATTTCAATTTTCGGAGTCGCTAAGGCCACGTGGCTCTCCACGCGTATTGTGAATGACGCTAGAGATCACAGTTGTCCAGCGATGTAAGGGTTGTAAATACTACAACTTCAATAATTTTTTTCTCGGAAACTATAAGGATTTTACAAAATTTATTTTACGATATTGACTCCATTTCTCATGCCGCATCTATTCCCAAATTTTTTTGGATAAGTTTTATAATTTTTACGGTAAGTTCCATATGAAGCGTTTAGTGTAGAAAAGTAGACACTGTTCCTTTTTATTTCATACTATTATGCAAATATTTTGCATGTAAAAAGTGCAGTTATAAGAAGACAGCCATTGTCATTTTTTGTTTGAATAAAATTACATAAAAGAGAACCCGATCTACATTCAGCCCTGTACCACAATGCATGCGCCCTAACATTTCCGATCTCTAGTAATTGTAGAACATTTATGAAGAATTTATGGAACACATTAGTGATTCTTAATTAACATTGACACATAACTAATGAAAGTACCTTGTACAAAAATATGTCATTTAGTTATATTAAATCTAAAAAACTACTTTTATACCACGCAGATTTCCTTTTTCAATAATATCAATATGGGTGACTGGACGAACAATGTTTATTTCATTTTCCCGAACTACAGATGAGCAAAAGTTCAATCACTTATATCTACCTTAATTTTCACTAAATCGGTAAAAAAGAATTCTACCACGGTGGAAGATTTCTATCCATCATGTCTTCTCAGATCAGTGACGTCAATTTCTGCCAGAGATGTTCGGTATAATAAGTAGTAGAACTGTCCAGATAAAGGTATTCTACCATTTGGCTAGGATTCTTTTAGAAAGGGTTTTTTTTCACTACAGACTGATTGCACATTTATCAAAATAGTACTTTACGAAAAATCTATCGTAGTGACAATTGTTCGAATACGGTATATGAACACAGATTAAAAGAATAAGTTGCTAAGCCTCCCTTCATCAGCAAATGTGTATTAGCAGAAGTCTCGTCAAGAAAGTTACCCATTTCTTCCTTGTGATGATTATTTTTAGGTCCAAAATCACCATTTTTCTTTTTAAAAATTGTTTTAATTGAAAATATTTTGAAGTATACTTATTTTCGTTAATTAATATGGTATTATTTATCACGGAGTATCAACATCATAAAGTGTTGGATGATTTTAACTTGACCGATTGATAAAAAAATATGCCATTACTACGCCACGGACAATATAGCTTGAAGGATAAGCTATATTGTCTGTGATTACATTATGCGATATATCATCATATATCATGTTTCTGTTAACATCAACCTTTAAGCCAGCACAAATAAATAAATACAAAAAATACTTTTCTTTTTCCTAGAAAATGGAGGAACAGGTGGATGCAGGAAGGACAAAAGCTATTGGACTATCTAACTTTAATCAAAGACAAATTGAAAAGATCATAGAGTTTGCCCGTATAAAACCAGCTTGTTTGCAAGTCGAATTACACGTTGACTTTCAACAACGAGGCCTTGTAGAATTTTGTCATAAAAATGATATTGTTGTAGTTGCATATTCTCCGTTGGGATCCCCAGGACCTAGTGAAATGGAGTAAGAACGAATTACTTTAGCTTTTGGGATTGGCAAAATCCATTTAGGTGACCCATTTAAGCAGTGTAGTGTTCTTTCGTTATAATTTTGTTTCCTTATGTATTTCTAATTTTAGACCAAGAAGGCTTCCTCCTGTGATTCACACGGAAGATATTAAAAAAATTGCGGAAAAATACAACAAGACTCCTGGTCAAATAATGTTGAGGTATCTCCTACAGAAGAATATAGCAGCTGTTCCTAAGAGTTCGAATATCGAGCGGCTGGAGGAAAATATTGACGTTTTTGATTTTGAGATTAGCTCTGATGATATGAGGTCTCTAGATGACCTGGAAGCAGGGAATGAAGCAAGGCTTGCTAATTTCAAATTCATTCCAGGGTAAGTAAATCATTTATAATTTATTGCTTTGATACCCAAACAACAAAAAGACATGGATTTTAGGGTTTGCCCTAAAATTTTCAAATTATATCTCCAAAGTTTAATTACATATATCTAAGTAATTCACGTTTTTTATTAGTACATTTTGATTATTTGATTAAATAAGAACAAACAGTTCTTTCTTGATTTAATTTGATTTCAAAGGCTCTCAAAGTTAAATACTTCTTGTTGCATTTTACGCCACTTTTGATTGTGTTTCCAGATTACAGAACAACTAACAATAGTTGTATGAGTCGAATTATTACAGCGCATGTAGTAAAAATAAAAAATTATTATTATTGTAGTATTTTACCTTTATTAAGACCAATTCTTTATTTCCAGAATCGAACAACATCCTGAATATCCATTTGAAGAATAGGACTCATTTTGCTTTACTGTATGCAGTCATAAGGCAAAAATATTCGATTTAATTATAACTACATTATTATATTATCTTTCTTCTATAAAGAAAAACAATTGAGGATCTAGAGATGTAGAGAGCAACTTGGTTCTTTCTTTTTTTGAGACACCTCTATTTTCACATGTTCAAAGGATTTTTCTTAAAAATACAGATATAAGAAATATATCACACCCATCTCTAATATTAAAAAAGATATAACTAAAGAAATGTACCATAAGAGTAATCTGTTAAGCCTGTTCTAAATGATGCGGTCACTTGCCAAATATTTGTCAAGTGTAAACTAATGCCATATCGTGTGCGTGGTGCAAATTGATACAACTTGTATTGCCATATTTTCGATAAAATATTAGAATCATATTATGTTCAAAATGATGTCATTGATTAGCTATCCACAAATTTACTCTCGTGTGTATATTTTCATACACATTTTGCAGTTGTTGTTCTGTTATATTCTTGACATCGCTACACAAACGCCTAGTTTTAAAGGATGTAAACTGGTTTCTACAAATGTGTGAGAATTTTCTGCAACCCAGGTTCTATAATTTTGGCTACATACATAAGCTGATATGTGAAACCATGCTCTGTCAGTAAAAAACGACAAGTCCAACAAATTATTATTTATGTTTTGTATATGTATATGGCTCACAGTATGTAATCGTCTTCCATAGTCTATGGGAAGTATTCCTGCATAACAGTTGCTTTGTTTAGGTTATTAACTATACTTCAATCTAATCTCAAATTCAAATAACAATTTTAAAGTAAAAATGTTTTAGAGACAAACCGACTGAGAATATTTGCACGAACTTGACAAAAAAAAAAGTACCTCTTTGAGCAGACAATTCCTTTTATCATTATCGTCACAATATTTAAAAAAGTTTTCTATTAAAAAATATTATTTTATAAGTAGAATAATTATAAAAAGTTATTAATTTTGTATAAATATGTTTGTAGTAAGTAACTGAATTATTTAAGAACATGAAAAATATTTATTAAAGAAAACTTTACTTTTAGAAGAAACAAAGAATTTAATAGATGTTCGAATTGACTATTCTCTTGAATACAGCATCTTATTCTATCGTCAAATGATATTCTCACATTCCTTAGAATATTTGGGGTGATTGTGGCAAATGCATCTCTAATCATTCCCTTCATATCATCGCAAGTAGTAGGTCGAACACTGTGTACAAGATTTTTTATATAGCCCGAAACAAAGAAGTCCATTACAGGAGGTTTGGACACCTAGGTAGCCACTGACATGGACCTTATTCATTTATTACTAAATTTTCAATTTATATAATTTCTCACTGTATATGAAAAATGTGCAGGTGCGCCAGCTAATTGCATTCATATTTTTCTCCTTATATTTAAAGAGACGTCATCAAGAAAAATCCAATATAATTCAATAAAGACCTCGATAACGACACGTGGATACATCTTACAAAAAAATTCAATAAAGAACGAAACGGCACAAATATCTCCAATATCGTTAGAGATAGGTAAAGGGAAGCTATAAACAGTTTGAAAGAGTTTTAAATTTCTTAACTTCCAAAGTAAAAATATACTGGGTGTCCCATTTAAAATAACCAAGTTATTGCTGTTTAAAGTTGAGAGAAGTATTCAGCAGTTTTTTGAACACCCTGTATAATACTAAGTGACGACAAATATAATAATTTATAACTTCAAGGATCTAAAATACACTCCAGAGCTGTTTCCTTAAAATTATTTTTTTATTGCAAATATTAAATTTCTACGCTAAGCCTGTATTTTCACTAAAATTGAAATATCTCACAAACTGTAAGTCCTAGGAATGCAGAATCTTTAATAAAGTTCACCTATTTTTTATGGTGCTTTCAAAAATGTAGTAAAATATAGGGTGTTCCATTTAAAAATACCTAACTTTGATATGGTACGCTTTTCTTGGACACCCTGTATATTTCAAAATATTTTTAAAATGTAGCCGTAATCAACCTATACATACCTACCTAAAAAGGTTTCTGTAACATTTGCCGTTTGGTTCCTAGCGACCGAGGCGTTACTGGTGGCCCACCCTGTATAATAAAAATAATAATTGAAAGCATCGGGATACACAATTATTTTAAACAATGTTAAGTAAAATACAATGCAGATTGAAAAAATATATAATAATAATTAAAACTAAAGGAATTGTTCAAAATGGGCACCATTTTCTCGGGATTCAACTGACGAAGAATAAACAAAATCCTTCAATGTTCCCCAAAGGAAATAATCACATTTTTTGAGGTCTGGTGATCGTGGTTGCAAATTTTGAGGACATTATATCAGGGAGGGTATTGTGTAGAAATTCCAAATAACTTTCGCCATTTATAACTGGTCCAATCAAATAATATCAATAAGACCGGCCCAAATATTTATCTTAAACTCGCATTGAAAATGTCGAGGAGTTATTGCATGAAAGTTATGAACATTTGTTATTCCTCGGCGAGTCAAACAAGCCTCATCAGTAAAAAGAATTTTCTTGTGAAAATTAATATCCTGATGCAAAACAAACTCACAAAAAGTCACTCGTCGATCCAAATCTTGAGGCAACAACTCATGCACATTTTGGACACGATATGGATGGAGTAGATTAAATTTTTTTAAAGAATTCGGTTTACAGAAGTTCTTGATAACCCAGCCTGTCGAGATAAATAACTAGATGGATTTCACGGGGTCTAACGACACTTACAGTGTACGATAATTCAATAAACAAAGAAATCTAAATAAAAAATTTAGATAAATTTGGAACTAATACACTGAAGATGAATTTTTCGAGACAAAACGTCTGAATCTGGTTCGGGCTGAAGCAGTGCAGTATTGGGGGTCATGAAGGCTTGCAAAATATGTAATAAAATATCCAGTCATATTTAAAAAAATGAAGTTGATGAAGGTCCTGGAAAGACGAAACGTTACATATAAATATTGATTATGCCATTCGATAGAGGGCAAAAAGTGGCCATGGGAAAGTGTTCTTCTTTTTTAAATATCACCTCAAATAAGGCTGAAATTAAACAAAAACGGATTTCCAAAATTTCTGTTTTTTTTTCAAATATTTCGAAAACTAATCATGTTAGCTTTAATTTTTTAGAGGCATAATGTTGGTCCCCTGATTACGCAACTTTGCCCCCATTTAAGCTACTTCGTACCTCCTATCGTTTCCGAGATCCCTGTAGTGAGAAGCGGATTTGTAACAGCCTGTATAGGTAATTTTGGTCAAATTACAATATTTTGGACACCCCTACATGCACCTGCCCTGTGTCGGTTCTTATGCGGGACACCCTGTGTTATGGCCGACATTTTCTGGTGGTCTAGCAATAGATTTTCCTTTGCAAATGCAATGTTTGGTTTCAAATCTGTTGACAATAGCACATTTCAGTTTAAGAGTCATGGTTTGCGTCTGGAAATTCCGTCTTAAATTGTACGAAGCAGGATGGCAAAGAGTATGTCCATGACCCGTTTTGTTTCGAGTTCCGCTTCGAAAATAAACCATTACAATAAAGGCATCTTGTTCTGGAGTCAGTTGCATAATGCGTTCTGAAATAAATATATATATATATATATATCTTTAAAAACTAATATTTGGTTTACTTTTAAAATTAAAGATTTAGGTAAAACTGATTAAAATAACTTTAATATTTTCGACCTGAATACAACCACTGCTTATTAGTCAATGCCCGCTCCTATGCCACCCATCGATGAACTCATACTTTGTTTTATAAACATTTGTGATTTACAATCACCGATCGAGTAGCAAGGAACCGCGCATGCAAATTAAATAAACTATATCAGATATTTAGCGATTCTCTCTTCATGGTTTTCACATTCGGCCAATCCTGACAAGGGAGCGTCCTCGCTTCCTCGAGTGGAGCCTCTGGCAGACCTCCGGGAGCCCGTTGACTCCTCACTTCCTGGAATGGGATGCCTTTCTTTTGACACACTAGGTCAAAAATGTTAGTACTGCACTGGAGTACTTTTCTTCTGACACACTAGGTCAAAAATGTTAGTACTGCACTGGAGTACTTTTCTTCTTGTAGGGGTGTATTACCCATTCCCGTGACTCACTGGGTCACGAACGTGCAACTTTCGGGCACACTAGACCACTCTTGGTACACTAGACCACTCTTGGTACACTAGACCAGCTAGATTTGCACGTCACTGTGGTACACTAGACCACGTAGTTTGGAGGCACGTTGGACACTCCAAACTCTCGGTTGGCCAGACCGTTTCTATCTGTCAAGGTTCACTGGACCTTTACTGATTAATTTGAGCTCAACTACCTTTGGGTCACTAGCACCAAACCTTAATGTTCTGAAATTCAGCGTTTCACTGGAAACAAGCTTAACATTACTAAATTACAACTAAAATACAAAACAAGATATTCTGTTGACTCACTGGGTCACATTACTAACATTACTAAATTACAAGTAAAATACAAAACAAGATATTCTGTTGACTCACTAGGTCACATTACTTCTATTTTATTTTATAATTCGATTTTCTGTGGNGGTTCTTATCATTCTTAATATTAGTTACTACCAAGTAATGATCACTATTTATTTCTGATCCTCTTTTAACTCTCGTATCCATAATCTGCTTTCTATTATTCTTCTCAGTTAACACATAATCGATTAATGATTTTTCTCCTCTGTTGGCTTCTACTCGCGTGTATTTATGTATCTCTTTGTGTTCATAAAAAGTGTTTGTTATAATCAAGTTATTTAATAGGCAATACTCCAGCATTCTCTTTCCATTATTATTTCTTTTATTTTCACCATATTGACCTATTACTGTGTTATATCTTCCATCTTTCTTACCCACTCTACTGTTAAAATCTCCTAATACATATACTATTCCTTTACTTTCTTCAGTGACTAATGTTAATTCCTCCCAGAATGTGTCTTTTATTTCTGCTTTTTCATCTTCATCTGGCCCATATACACATATCACAGTCATTTGTTTTCCATCTCTTTTCTTTATCTCCACTGATAAAATTCTCTCCGTATGTGCTTCCCATTTACTCACACTTTGTATTAATTTTTGATGAATTATGCATCCGACACCTGCTGCTGCCCTTTTATTATTTTCTACTCCACTATATATTAACAAGTGACCATTTTCTAATTCCATCACCCCTTTATTCTTTTTCTTTGTTTCTGACACTGCTAAAATATCCAGTCCTGCATTTTGAAACTCTTGCATCAGTTCATTTTCCTTTCCATTAATGCTCCTTATATTCCACGTTCCTATTTTCCATATTTCTTTTGTTTGTCCCTTTTCAGAGTTCTTTCCTTTTCCTTGCCTGTTCGTCAACTTATTTACCGTTTTGTCAGTATTCTGATCAGTATCCTTTCCTAGTTTTTTGGATTCACTAACTCTAGTGTTTCTCTCGCCTTATTCCATCTCCACTCCTCTCCATCAATTATAATCTTACTATACCCAATTTTAACGTTCTTTCCTTTTTTCTTCTCTTCTATTGCCCTCTTTCTTATTTGCTTCTCTTTTTCCTGCTCTTTCTTGGTCATATCTTCATTGATGTAAATTCTCTTGCATTTATTCCTCAGTTTATATTTACTTTTCATTACTTTATCTTTGTCCTTAAATTTTTCGAATTCTATTAAATATGTTTCCTGTCCCAATTTTTGAACGTTTTCTATCTGTGTTTCAACCTCAATTTCTTTCACTAAAAACTCTTCCATATCTTTCTTAAGTGTTTCTCTGTTTTCAGTTTGCATTTTTAATCCTGTCAAAACAATATTATTTTTCCTTTTTTCCTTTTCTAGCCATTCTATTTTATTTTCTATTATTTCCATTTTATCTCTTATTTCCTTATTTTCTTCTTTTAATTTTGCATTTTCATGTCTTAATATTCTATTTTCCTCTCTGATCTCCTTTATTACATCTTTAATTTCTGTTTGTTCTTGATTTATTTTCCCCTGCTCCACTTTCAACTCCTTTACCATTTCAATTAATAGATCAAGTTTTTCGTCCGATTTTTCCTCGATTTTTTTTTGTTTTGCCGGTGATCTCATTACTTTTCTGCTGCTAATGAAAATATCTTCTTCTCTAATTCTTTTCTTTTTTCCTTCATCCGCACTGCTGAAGTCTTCACTCTCCATGTTTTTATTTATTTATCTATTTATTACCGGATATCGTAAAGAGCTGTCTCACCTCAACGGTTCGGAAGAACTTCGCTCTTACTTATCTTAAATTCTCCGTCGTTTTTTACACTCTGGCAACACCGCGCCGAACTCTAACGCTGTTCTCTTCCGTGTCAGCTGTTTTCTACCCGTGCTAACCTAATAAAAATAAATAATGAAATAAATATATCATTAAGCTCAAAATTTTGTTTCTGTTATAACTTACCAATAATTCGACGAAATGCCAAAAGTTTTTCTATGAAAACAACTGATGATTTGAAATTTTGAAATATCTACGATTTAATATTGAAGCAAAAGAAATAATAAAACGATTGTAGCATGAAAATAAACATGGATGACGGACGCCACTGAAAAATGCACAAGTTCAATTTAGCGTCATCGATTCCTTTACACTAAACTGTAACCGTTGCGTCTACACTCGAGATAATCCGATCGCTTTTTGTAATTTTACCAGAATTTAATTGCCAACGCAAAGGAAATAAAAATCTGTTAGCAACTAACAAAATTTGTTCCGCTCTAAAAGTGATAATATAGTGATAAATCTGTATGGTGTGGATAACTGATTATATTTATTTATCTATTTAATTAAATGTAACTTTCATATTATTTAGGTTTCGCTATTACAGCATATTGTGCAATATTTAAACCTTAAAGATCTACTTTAAATCCATGCAATTCATTGGCTTTTTAAATAATATGTGATTATTTTTTATCTCTGTAATTAGGATGCTTGCGATATATAGTAACAATTTGATAACTATCTGGGAAATAATACTAGACAACATTATTTCTACTTATTTTATTTTTTTGTTTTTTATAATTCTTAACGATAAACAGTCATCATCAAACACAACGAAAATGAGAAATATGAAATATCTTCATTTAGGGAAAGGGAATTCTGGATGGTCCATAAATCTGAAAAAGAATGGTTTTGTTATGTCAGAACCGCTAGGGCCAATGTTAGTGATTTCGGTTCTTATTGCTGGTTGTAAGGCCACTATGGATGCAACTTCTTCTCAAAAAATTGTGGTCCTTTAACACGTTTCGTATTGGCTTGTGCAACGCGTCGCATCCAATACTTCCAAACGTTTCGATGTTTCTCACTGTCGGCATCTTCAGTGATGAAGATAATAATAAAAGCTTCCCTACGACTTACGCCTCTAGAGACCTTGTCATCGGTTTTATACCATCGGATTGCTGCGCATGCATCTAAGCCTGCGTAGATACCACCGATTATAAAGGCACTATGCAACGTCTCACAGGACATCATCGTCTGAGAACAAATGTCCGTAGAATCAGCAACAAGAACCGACGTCAATATAAGACGGGTCTAGAAGTCTGCCTCCACAGAGCTGAGTCTGAGAACAACATCGGCAGACCAGAACAGTACAACTTACAAGCAACTTACTTCGGAACTCTTAAATCAAACACCCGAGCCCCTTCTCCAACTTCGAGGTCATCTAAAGCTTTCATGTCTGCAGCGTCCAAAGAAAAGTCAAATACGTTTATATTCTCTTTGATTCTAGCAGGATTAATGCTCTTCGGTATGACTACGATATTCTTCTGCAGAAGATACCGCAGCAATATCTGGGCGTTGGTTTTTTTATGTTTGGTAGCAGCTTTGACGATTGTTTTATCGTTGAGCACGTCTGGCAGTTTTCTTGGCCTACAATCAAAAGATGACTTGTAATGCTTCAATTATTAAAAATTCTTCTGAGAATTTTGTTCAATGGGCGTGATAGCTACGATCAAATCGCAAAATTAAATTTCAAGAAGGAACAATTTGTCAATGTAAAGACTTACTCTCTACCAGTCTTCGCTAGAAACTCGTTAAATCCAGGTGAACCAAGAGGTGCGTATGCGACCACAACGATATCATTCTGCTGGCAGAATTTCACCAGCTCTCTTTGTTGCAAGTAAACATTCAATTCCACCTGCAAACACGATGGCTTAATTCTAGCGGACTTTAGTACTCTATCGATCTGTCTGATATTAAAATTAGAAAGTCCTATAGCCTTGGTTCGACCAGCGTCAACTTGTTCTTCCAGTTTCTGCAAAGAACTTAAGTAATTAAACACTGACTACATCTGAAAAATAACACTGTACCTTCCAAATGGCTATATGGTCGGTTTCAACAGTTTCAATATTAGCTGTTGTTGGAGCGCCCTCTTCAACATATTTAGTTCCAATAGGCCCGTGTATCAAATACAAATCAACGTAATCTAATTGCAGGCTCTCCAATGACGTTTTTATAAACTTCTCTACTCTGTCTTTGTGCATTGCTTGCATCGGAAGTTTCGTAGTTATAAACAAGTCTTCCCTCTTTAATTTTTTGGAGGAAATCCACTCATTTATCACGCGGCCAATGGCTGCTTCGTTTTTGTAAAGGAACGCGGTGTCGATGTGACGATAGCCTGTCTCAAAAGCTGCATTGAGAGCAGTTTCGACTTCCTTTTCATCAGTTGTCTAAAGAAAATAGTCATCGTTACAGAGGTAAGAATGGGAAAATAATAAGGAAAATAAAATAACTAAGCTGCCCAGCAATAGGCAGTTCAGTTGGTACCTGGAATTGGACCGTGTCTGAGTATTTTTTGCATGCCACTATTTCCTTTTCATGAGGTGTTTTCCAGCGAGTGCGCGAAAATTGGATTAGAAGGTATCGTGCGTGCAACGAAAATGGTGGTGGACATTTTGAGCTTATATTGCAGTTTGTATTGTACTTGTGCGTTTAAAAATGATTGATTTTTGCATTTTGGTAAGTCCCTAAATTATTTTTACTACGTATGATTATTTGGACGACGTGAATCTTTGGGTACTTTAATTACATATTTTTCAAATTCATAATTTGATTAAAAGTTAAGTTCCTGTTTTAAGAGATTCATAATTACTGCAATTCGTGCTAAAATTTAAGCACAGGAATATCTTCGTAACACAAAATCGATACATTTTGTTTTATTTATTTAAAAACTGGAAAACGATTGTCTTCAAATTTACTAAAGTTTCACAATAATAGTTGTTTACATTTTTTCCGAAGGACAAGTCTGCCGCGTGCTCACGTGGTATACATCAGATGTTTAGCATCTGGTTAAGCGCCGTTGTCACGTTGTGATGAAACTCCCCAATATTAATACTCGCTGTAATTTGAAAACTGTTAATCTTACGCACTTGTAATATACATCTTTTTTGTTCATTTATGATTACTCTATCTCATGCTGAAGTAATGGCAGTCAAACTTCTTACACCCTGTATTTATTCTTTGCATCACAGCGCATATAACAATCTTATGTATTTTGATAAATTATGATATTTTCAATATCATTTTTCATTTTAAAATTAACATTTTAATAATTTCAGTATATTTTTATGAATATTTTTGATTGCAATAACATCGTATCACAGTATAATACTACATATGTATATTAAATTGTATCATAATTTCACAAATACAATCGCTTTAAACTCTTGTCTTATAAGGACCATTTGTATTCACAGAAGTGCAGTATAGTAGTATGCACGTTAGCAAATCATATTTGAACATATCCTTGCAATTTACTTCGCGGCACAGTTTGTAGATAATCTAAAATACGTAAAAGTTATAGTAATTAACCAAACAACAATATATTTATTGTTTATAATGTACTTGATGCTATATCGATAAAATTTGAAATAATTAAATCAATGTCTTAAAAATAAAATCAAATATTGACTGGATCAATTTTAAGAATTATCCAATACTGATATATTAGTTGGTATATTGTTATATTTTTGTGAAATTGAGAATTTTAAAGTAATTTTTTATTAATTTGATCCAGTAATAAGATTATTCTAAATTTCAAAAATAATTGAAAATTTTTAATAAACTAAATGTCATATCATTTAGAAATTGTCAATTAAATGCACTCATCCAATTTCGTAGAATCGAAAATATTTAGTGGTGCTGAAATTCTGGGACTGTTTCGTCTAAATTTAACCCAAAAACAACACCCCGAACATTTGGAAAACACCCTGTAAAAGAAAATTAACTTAATTCTTACCCAGGTACCCAGTCCAACAGCAGGCATCTTTCGTCCCCCTGGCATGTCCATAAAAATTTTTTCTGCCATAACTTGCAATCGTAAATCGACAAACACACTCTTTATAAAATATAGATATGAGCGGAACGAAGTATAAAAATGAACACGAGATATGAGTCGGCAGATACCGAACAGCGTTGAATTCAAAGCAAATAACAATAATATTTTGCGCAAAATGCTCTGAAGTTATCAGTGTGTACTCTGCTAGATCTATACTTTAATTTGCAGCTCTAATACCACATATATACTGTAAATGGAATACAGGGCCGGTTTTGCAAACTGAGACTATAGTTGCAGGAAAATCTGTTAGTGATAATAGTTTAAAAATGAAATTATTGATAAGTATATGATATAAATTAATAATAATACGTATTATAATTGACAAATATATTTTATTTAAAGAAGGTTTGGCAAGTTCTGTTCATATAAGCATCTAAAATAAATATATCTCTGCAATCTCCCACAACATGTAAGAACGGAAGTTAAGCAGTATATCAATTTGTATACGAAACATTCCAATGTTAAAAATTACATAGGTATGTAAAATATTTATTGAGACACCAATAAAAATATAATGTGTAACAAGTAGATTATTAGTTATTATTCTCGCCACCTACTACAATAGACATTACTGCAAGTCATGCACACAGTAGTTGTAGGAAGGTCATGCCAATTTACATCTCATAGATAGTCTCTTATGGAGGTACATTGTACACTACCGTCGTATTTTTACGCCTAAAGTATCAGCCGAAAATCTTGCCAAGGTCAAGGAATATGCAAACATCAAATTATCTTATCAAATAATTTACTTCAACGATGTACTTTTACGTGACGTATATAAATACCAGTGTGTAGTGAAAACTGTTATTATAAAACTAAATTGGTAAAGTTCAAAAACATGGCTGCTAAAATATTTAAGGATTTACCCGGAGGTTTGAAAATGCCGGCCATAGGTTTAGGAACAGCTGGCGTAAGTATTTTTCTTATTATATAATTATAATAAGTTTTTAAGTAAAATGTTACATACGACATCATTATGTTATTTAAGGCAACTAAAATATTTTAATGGCATTTTTTATTTAGAAGAAAACTGATAAATCGATGCAAGTCAAATTTATTATAAGGCTTTAGTTATTGATTGTCCATAAACATCACAAATATATGTTTATACTGAAATTGTACTTGTTGCATGTTGCTAGGAATCATCATTTCCAAAATAAATAATAAAAATGTACAATAAATAGTAATTACTGTTAATATTGTCATGTAATGACTTTTTCGATATAATGTTAATAATAATTCAAGTAATCACTTCATTCATCATTCATAAATTAAATAGGTATTATTTACTTGGCTTTCCTCATCTGATTTTTACATTTTGAAATAAATCATGTATTTTCATTGATTTTGGTCATGTTTATAGGTACTTTTGTTAATTTATTAAATAGAATCCGCTATTACAGTTCGGACAAGTATTTTAGCTATTTGCAATATCATTTGTTGATAGATAACAAAACTAAATTTTGAAGTATAACTATTATCTCGATCTCATTCAGTCCAACCACTTTGCATTAACTTTGAACCATACGTCATTACTAAACGGATAAAACTCGAGTATATATATCTCTAGTAAAATCACATACAAATTTGTTGCAATTCCTCAATATAGTAACTAGTAAGTTTTGTTCTGAAATGAAACCCTTTTTTCAGACAGATTTTATTTATAAATTCAGTTAGATAAATTCTTCAATACTCCAGTCGAATCATAAAACCTGTCAGTTTATAAAAATTATTAGTAGACGTTTTATCGCACTCTATGACGGGGAAGAGTATGTAGAATGATAATATCAAAAAAGTAACTTGAAAGAACTGACGCTAAGTTGGCAAATTGCAAATAAATGGCAAAATTACGTAAATTTTCACTTTTTCACTGTCCATGAAAATCTAGATGATCAGATGATCCATCGGAAAATTAGTTATTTTGTGTTGTAGGTAATTAAATTACCTAAAATTAAAAGTAGCTAATGTCTTATTTCACATATTTGTTAACTGTAAAATAAAGGTTGCACGCGGAAAAATCAGTTTTCGAAAATTGTGCATTATTATTGCAAAAAGCGATGGATGTTGATGAGAGTGATAGAAAAGACTGACAATCCAAAGACAAACATGTGTGCCAAGAGTCGATACGATTGGCCGTAAAATTGTTGCTCCAGGTAGGTATTTGTCTATTAATTTCGTTCGTTTTTTTAGCATTTAATTGTTTAATTACTAAACGTTGATTTTAGAAGTTAATATCGTAGATATAGGTTCAATTGATCCAAAGAAACATATCAAAAAAGAAACATTTCAGAGAGTTGAAATTAAGTTGCTCTTTACAATAAACAAAGTAGGACGTACAAAAGAGTGTTATTAACAAATTGTTCCAGGGTCAGGCATAAGCCGCTCGGGAATTCGCTCTTTTTGCATTAAATAGAGCTTATTTATATGGTAATTTAAAAAAAATCTCCTACGACTCTTGGTTCTCAAGGTAGCTTTCTAATAATGTTAATTGTTAATATTAACCAATATATTTATTTTTGAAAATTTATTTCAATTGAAAAAATTTTGCAACTGAATCTGGTGACATATTATTTTCTTTATTCGTAAAATAAAAATTAGGGTTCCCTGTATTAGTGTTGATCAAGTTAATCCTTAACAACAATACCTTGATCTGAAATGAAAATTATGATGACACAATTATTTTTCGATGGATTATCTAGTCATCGATGCTGACAGAGCAATCTAAGATCTGCCACTTTCAAATATTCTATTTAAAACCATCATAATTAGATAAAAAACTAATACATCCAAATACAGTGTAAAGTTCTTCCTTTATATAAATTATTCATAAAGAACTTTCTGTATCATAAACTTTCACATAGATCACCAGTTTTGAGAATATTGTTGTACTATTGTATCTGCCTCGCAAAACTTTCAATTATTGTAACAAAAGCAGTAGGTCCAATCTCTAAATTTGACAGGAACTTACTGACTTGTTACAAATATCCTCTAACATAATTATGCTATTACCTTAACATAATCCTGTCGCCATTATGGTCCTGTTTTTAAAACATGTGAAAGAAGAAACAACTTATAACCACTTCAATTTTTTTCAGTTCTGGGACGAAGCTGCCCTTGAAAGGGTTTTAAATGCTGCCCTTGAGCTAGGATACCGCCACATTGACACTGCCTATGGATACAAAAATGAAGTATTTATTGGGCGTGTTCTAAAAAAATGGTTCTCCTCGGGTAAATTAAAGAGAGAAGATATATTCATCACCACCAAGCTTCCACTGATTGGCACACACCAGGACAGAGTGGAGTTGTTCATGAAGAAGTCACTAGAAAATCTCCAGCTGGAGTATGTTGATTTGTACTTGATCCACCATCCTATTGGGGTGAAATACTTTGGAGACGAAGATAACCGCAAGGAAATAGACGAAGTTGATCACATAAAAATTTGGAAGGTGACGGTGATATATTATTGTTAATTCTGTTTAAACTAATTGTTCAGAAAATGGAGGAACAAGTCCAACTTGGAAGGACGAAAACTATAGGTTTATCCAACTTCAACAAAAGACAGATCGAAAGGGTTATAACATCCGCCAGGATAAAACCAGCGTGTTTGCAGGTGGAACTGCACGTTGACTTTCAACAGCGCGACCTTGTGGGGTATTGTCATAAGAATGGGATAGTAGTGGTTGCCTATTCTCCTTTAGGGGCCCCAGGAGATAAAAGATTTAGGTAAGGCATCGGAATACATCACAAACGTGCACCTTTTTAATTAAATTTTTAACTTTAGGGATAGAAAAATTCCGGCAGTTATTAATTCTGATCTAATCAAAAACATAGCGAAGAAATATAGTAAAAGTCCTGGACAGATAATGTTGAAGTATCTCCTACAAAAGAATATTGTACCTATACCGAAGAGTTCGAGTCCAGAGCGATTAAAGGAAAACTTCAGCGTCTTTGACTTTGAAATAAATTCAGAGGATATGAGATCTTTAGATGATCTCGATGGTGGTGAAACAGCAAGGCTGGACACTTTTACATTTATTCCAGGGTAAGAACACTTCAATTAAATACGTATAGATGATGAAACGTCATTAATGAAATATATGAATAAAATAATTTTTTTGTGCGTAAATATACATATCCAAGTTTGTTCAAATTTATCTTGCGTTACATTCCTTTTAAATGAAATAATTTCATTTTCTCATACTTCCAGAACCACTTATTCTAAAGGTAACCCGATTCAGATTTCAAAAAGTATTTTTTAGATGTGTATAACCTCCGTGTTCTACATTTTATACCAAATATGTGTTATCTTCATTCTGGGTCTTTGGTTCTGGGTTTTATTTATTTTTAAATGTTTAAGTAAGCCTGAAAAAATCCTGTATAAAAGTTATATTTCAATCTTCTTAGTCACTTTATTTTGAAGGAGAAACATGATTTTTATAGAATATCACCTGCTCACAATTTTTATCCGTTCGTATCAGAACTTTTGTTTTTCAATATTTCAAATCGAAACCTTTGGAAATTCTCATAATGCTGACCACAATATGTTTTTAATATTCAAATTTTATTTATTTTTTGTTTGATTTGATTAAATTTCGACAGCGGGTTATAAGCAGTAAGTAAAACAAAATTTGAAATGTGCCATTTATTTGTTAATAGTGGAAAGCTCAAATCTAAGGGCAACGAGACATCAATAGAATTATAAAACAATAATATAAAAACGTACTAATTCTATTGCACTCTTACTTGCTATAAAAACGATAAATTGAGCTTTTTTATGTACCAAATGACAAACTTTATGATTAAACTAATGCATATTTTTGTTTTAGGATAGAAAATCATCCGGAATATCCATTTTAAGAAATAATTTATTTTAATTCGAGATTCAATAAAAAGTATTATAAAGAAAGTTGTTTATGTTTTTTTCTGTATTTTGCTGAAGGAAGTACCTATATTCATTGTAGTTTTTCCACTATTGTTTGAAAAATAAATAATTTGAAAATATCGTATGAGATCACAAGTTTGAGACCATAAAACTGCACCTACAACCCGTCGTGCAAGTTATTGGTTCGTTTCTACAGGGAAGCTGCGGTTAAGAGACACTTATAAAGTAGTTATAAAATAATATATGAATAATGTGAAAATATATATACAGGGTGTTGGGTAACATGCATATGAGATTTTTCCGTATATTTTCAAATAGTTTAAAATATGTAAATTTAATATATTTTTAATGAATATCTAGTTTGTTCTTACAGTACATCTCATAATATATACATTAATAATATAAAGCAATTAATTTCATTACATTTAGGTAAACAGATAATGATTGAAGTATGTACGACACTATTTAAATTTATGATTAAGAAGGGGTCCAGAATGTATCAGGTATGTGTTAATAATATTTTAAAGTGACATCTAACTTTCTTATTTTATTACTTAAAGAAACTGTTGTATTTGGCACAGATTTTATGAAAAAAAATCTCATGCTCCTTGAGTTTGTTTCTACGTATTTTGACATATTTCCTCAGTCATTGATTTTATGTTGCATTATTAAATTATTTCTGTTTGTTTCTCAATATTAAATATTTCATTCTGTAATACTTTGTTTGAAAAACTTAACCATTTCAAATGTAATGAATCCATAAGATGCCATTTTTCTCAAAAAAAAACAAGCATTTCATTTAACATATAACAAATAAGATCCACTTCTTATTTGTGGAAGGGCGAAATGGGCGGTGACTATTAGACGCCTTCATTATAGCCATCTCTTTATCGCACGGATTTCTATGACTTAATTTATCGCTCTCACGTAACGGCCGATGAACCATGGGGACTTTCCGACCCTGTAGACATTACTGCAAGTTATGCACACAGTAGTTGGAACAAGGAATATGCAAACATCAAATTATCTTATCAAATAATTTATCTCAAGGATGTACTTTTACGTGACGTATAAGTATAAATACCAGTGTGTAGTGACCGAAAAACTGTTATTATAAAACTAAATCGGTAAAGTTAAAAAACATGGCTGCCAAAATATTTAAGGATTTACCTGGAGGCTTGAAAATGCCGGCCATAGGTTTAGGAACAGCTGGCGTAAGTTTTTTTTATCAATATTAATGGTAATGTTAATTGTTAATATTAACCAATTAACTTATTTTCGAAAATTTATTTCAATTGAACAAATTTTGCAACTAAATCTGATGACATATTATCTTCTTTATTCGTAAAATAAAAATTAGGGCTCCCTGTATTAGTGTTGATCAAGTTAATCCTTAACTACAATATCTTATTCTGAAATTCCAGTTATGATGCCAGAATTATTTTTCGATGGATTATCTAGTCATCGATGCTAACAGAGCAATCGAAGATCTGCCACTTTCAAAGATTCTATTTAAAACTATCATAATTAGATAAACTAATACGTCCAAATACATTGTAAAGTTCTTCCTTTATGCATATAAATTATTCATAAAGAACTTTCTGTATCGTAAACTTTCACATAGAGCACCAGTTTTGAGAATCTTGTTGTACTATTGTCTCTGCCTGGCAAAACTTTGAATTATTGAATACAAAAGCGGTAGGTCTAACTAAATTTGACAGCAACTGACGTTACAAATATCCTCTAACATAATTATGCTATTACCTTAACATAATTCTGTCGCCACTATCGTCCCGTTTTTAAAAGATGTGAAAGAAGAAACGACTTTTAACCACTTAAATTTTTTTCAGTTCAGGGAAGAAGCTGACGTTGAGAGGGTTTTAAATGCTGCCCTTGAGCTAGGATACCGCCACATTGACACTGCCTATGCATACAAAAATGAAGTATTTATTGGGAGTGTTTTAAAAAAATGGTTTTCCTCGGGCAAATTAAAGAGAGAAGATATATTCATCACCACCAAACTTCCACTGATTGGCATACACCAGGACAGAGTGGAGTTGTTCATGAAGAAGTCACTGGAAAATCTCCAGCTGGAATATGTTGATTTGTACTTAATCCACCAACCTATTGGGCTGAAATACTTTGGAGACGAAGATAACCGCAAGGAAATAGAAGATGTTGATCATATAAAAATTTGGAAGGTGACGGTGATATATTATTGTTAATTCTGTTTAAACTAATTGTTCATTTTGCAGAAAATGGAGGAACAAGTCCAACTTGGAAGGACGAAAACTATAGGTTTATCCAACTTCAACAAAAGACAGATCGAAAGGATTATAACATCCGCCAGGATAAAACCAGCGTGTTTGCAGGTGGAACTGCACGTTGACTTTCAACAGCGCGACCTTGTGGGGTATTGTCATAAAAATGGGATAGTAGTGGTAGCCTATTCTCCTTTAGGGGCGCCAGGAGTTAAAATATTTAAGTAAGGCATCGGAATACATCACAAACGAGCACCTTTTAAATTAAATTTTTAACTTTAGGGATAGAAATGTTCCGGAAGCCATTAATACTGATGTAGTCAAAAACATAGCGAAGAAATATAATAAAAGTCCTGGACAGATAATGTTGAAGTATCTCCTACAAAAGAATATTGTACCTATACCGAAGAGTTCGAGTCTAGAGCGATTAAAGGAAAACATCAGCGTCCTTGACTTTGAAATAAATTCAAAGGACATAACCTCTTTAGATGATCTCGATGGTGGTGAAACAGCAAGGCTGCACACTTTTACATTTATTCCAGGGTAAGAACATTTGAATTAAATGCGTATAGATGATGAAACGTAATTAATGAAATAAAATAATTTTTGGTGCATAAATATTTCCAAGTTTGTTCAAATTTATCTTGAGACACATTATTACTCTTAAATGAAATCATTTAGTTTTCTCATGCATCCAGAATAACTTATTCTGAAGGTAGCCCGAGGTCAGATTTCTAAAAGTAATTATTTAGCTGTTTATAACCTGCGTGTTCTACATTTTATACCAAATATGTGTTATTTTAATTCTGGGTCTTTGGTTCTGGGTTTGATTTGTATTTGAATTTTTAAGTAAATCTGAAAAAATCCTGTATATAAGTTATATTTCAATCACCTTAGTCACATTATTTCGAAGAAGAAACATGATTTTTATAGAATTTCACCTGTTCACAATTTTTATCTGTTCGTATCAGAACTTTTGGTTTTCAATATTTCAAGTCCAAAAACCTTTGGAAATTGTCATAATGCTGACCACAATATGTTTTTTTTGTTTCATTAAATCTCGACAGCGAGTTATAAGCAGAAAATAACAAAAATCTGAATTGTGCCATTTTGTTAATAGTGGAAAGCTCAAATCTAAGGGCAACGAGACATCAATAGAATTATAAAAAAAATATAAAAACGTACTAATTCTATTGCACTCTTACTTGCTATAAAAACTTTAAATTGAGCTTTTTTATGTATCAAATGACAAACTTTATGATGATACTAATGCTTATTTTTGTTTTAGGATAGAAAATCATCCGGAATATCCATATTAAGAAATAATTAATTTTAATTTGAGATCCAATAAAATTTATTTTAAAAAAAGTTGTTTATTTTTTTTTCTGTATTTTGCTGAAGGTAGTACCTACCTATATTCATTGTCCTTTTTCCACTAATGTTTGATAAAAATAATAATAATTTGAAAATATCGTATGAGAACACAAGTTTGAGACCATAAAACTGCACTTACAACCCGTCGTGCATATGAGATTTTTCCGTATATTTTCAAGTCGTTTAAAATATGTAAATTTAACATCTTTTTAATGAATATCCACTTTGTTCTTACAGTACATTTCATAATATATGTATTAATAATATAAAGCAATTAATTTCATTACAATTAGGTAAGCAGGGTAATGATTGAAGTATATACACGACACTATTTAAATTTATGATTAAGAATGGGTCCAGAATGTATCAGGTATGTGTTAATAATATTTTAAAGTGACATCTAAAACTTTTTTATTTTATTACTTAAAGAAACTGTTGTAGGTGGCACAGATTTTTTGAAAAAAAATTTCATGCTCCTTGAGTTTGTTTCTACGTATTTTGACATATTTTCTGTCATTGATTTTATGTTGCATTATTAAATTACTTATGTTTGTTTCTCAATATTAAATATTTTATTCTGTATTACTTTGTTTGAAAAACTTAATCATTTCAAATGTGATGAATTCATGAGAACCCATTTTTCTCAAAAAAAAAAAACAAGCATTTCATTTAAAAATGGTAAGAGACGTTTTTGCTATAGAATAAACGCAATGTACAAAATATATTCATTTTGAAAATTTTCCAGTAGCGTAGAAATTGTATTAAAAATAAGGCTTACCAGAGCCCTTTACGGACGCCTATGATTGATCTACTATCACAATAATTTGTAAAATCGATAGAGCTTTTCATTTGTACACTTCATACTAAATATAAAGCAAATGACTTTCATAGTTTAAGAAAAAATAAATAAAAACCAATAAAATATTTTTTCTCAAGATCTTATTTCTCTAAAAGGAAGGCTTTGGAAGAAAAAGTGTATACTTCAAAATGACATAATTCTGACGAGATTTATCGATGGTTAAAGTCCTAATCATAAAAATTTAATCATCCTGTATAAATTTGCATACGAAACATTCTAATGTTAATAAAAATTGCATAAGTATGTAAAATATTTATGGAGACACCAATAAAAATAAAATGTGTAACAAGTAGATTATTAGTTATTCTCACCACCTACTACAATAGACATTACTGCAAGTCATGCACACAGTAGTTGTAGGAAGGTCATGCCAATTTATACCTCATAGACAGTCTCTTCTGTACATTGTACTCCACTGTCGTATTTTGACGCTTAAAGTATCACCGAATATCTCGCCAAGGTCAAAAAATATACAAACATCAAAATATCTTATCAAATAATTTACCTCAACGATGTACTTTAACATGACGCATGTAAGTACCCATGTGTAGTGATTGAAAAACTGTTTTTATAATACAAAATCCGTAAAGTTAAAAAATATGGCTGCTAAAATATTTAAGGATTTACCTGGAGGCTTGAAAATGCCGGCCATAGGTTTAGGAACAGGTTCCGTAAGTATTCTTCTTATCAATAATAAACGTTTTTAAATAAATTGTTACATACGACATCAGTACGTTATTTAAGGCAAATAAAATATTTTAATGACATTTTTTAAATACAAGAAAACTGATAAATCGATGTCAGTCAGATTTAGTATAAGGCTTTAATTATTGATTGTTCATAAACATCACAAATATATGTATATACTAAAATTGTACTTGTTGCATGTTGCTAGGAATCATCATTTCCAAAGTAAATAATAAAATGTACAATAAATAGTAGTTATTGTTATCACCGTCAAGTAGTGAAGTTATTTTTCAATATTGTTAATAATAATTCAAGCAATCATTTCGTTCATCATTCATAAATTAAATATTATTTACTTGGCTTCCCTCATCTGTTTTTTACATTTTGAAATAAATCATGTATTTATTTCGTTGATTTTGGTCACGTTTATAGGTACTTTTGTTAATTTATTAAATAGAAGCCGCTTACAGTTCGGACAAGCATTTTAATTATTTGCAATGTTATTTGTTGATAGATAACAGAATTAAATTTTGTTTGAAGTATAATTATTATCTCGATCTCATTCAGTCCAACCACTTTGCATTAATTTTGGACCTTTACGTCATTACTATACACAGACAAATCTCGACTAGGTATATCCCTCGTAAAATCATAATTCTCTAGAATTGAACTGAATTTTTAAATAGGCATTTAATTAAATACGACAGTAAATACCAAGAAAAACACTACAAGTTACTGATGCAACTACTTGGTCTCGCTAAGAAGTACATTTGATAATAATTTTTTCGAAAACTGTCGTAAAATATTGATATTCTAATTATCTTTTCTAAGGGTTAAGAATGCGCTTGAGTTAACTGAAATGGACAACTTTTTGTTCTGAAATGAAACAGTTTTTTACATATAGTTTTTATTTATAAATTCTATTAGATCAATTCTTCAATTTCTCCAGTCGAATCGTAAAGCCTGAAAGTTTATAAAAATTATTAATAGACATTTTATCGCACTTTATGACGAGGAAGGGTACATAGAATGATAATATCAAAAAAGTAACTCGAAAGAAGTGGCAAATTGCAAATAAGTGACAAAATTACGTATTTTTTCACATTTTCACTACCCATGAAAATCTAGACGACATATCGGAAAATACCTACCTAAAGTCATATTTCACCTATTTGTTAACTGTAAAATAAAGGTTCAACGTGGAAAAATCAGTTTTCGAAAATTGCCCATTATTATTGCAAAAAGCTATGGATGTTGATGAGATTAATAGAAAAGACGGTCAATCTAAAGACCCACATGTGTGCCAAAGGCCGATATGATTGACCGTGAAATTATTGCTCCAGGTGTATGTTAATTAATTTCGTTCTTTTTTTTACATTTAAATGTTTAATTACTAAATGTTAATTTTAGAAGTTAATATCGTAGGTATAGGTTCAATTGATTTAAAGAAACGTATCGAAAAGAAAAAAGTTGATATTACGTTGCTCTTTACAACCAACAAAGTAGAACGTGCAAAAGAGCCTTATAAACAAATAGTCCCAGGTTTAAGCGAAAGCCGCTCTTTTTGCATTAAATAGAACTTATTTTTACGGTAATTTAAAAAATAGAGAAATCTCCTACTTCTCTTTGTCCCCATGATAGCTTTTTTATAATGTTAATTGTTAATTAACTATTAACCATTAACGTTAACTTTTACTGCTGCTAGCGCGTTTATAACATAAACTATCAATGTAAAACTTTTTGAAAATAAAAGTTTAACCCTTTAAACCCAATTAAAGAATTGTCTTTAAAATCTCAGTCCAATACGTCCAATAGATAGTTAATTAACAATTAGAATAGAATAGAAACTTTATTGACACTGTTATATACAAAAACTGTACATTTTTTGTCACAACTATCGAACAGTAACGAATGAAATAAAATCATCAAGACTATAAAAACATTGCTCTAATAAAAAATTTTTAATGAACTTGTGGAAACTTCTCTGAGACATCATAATAAATTTAAAATTTTTAAAATGATTACTTAATCTATTATAAAGCTGAATCTGGACCTTGTTTCTCTTAGTAATATTAATTCTAGAAAAAGGTTCCACAAGATTTAGTGCCTGTCTAATATTGTGATCGTGAATGGATGAATGAGTGGCCAGATTTTGGAGATTCTTGTGCACATGCAGCAACGTTTCAAAAATATACATACACATATGCTTGGAAGAGGCATAATCTTGGCGACGGTGGGCTGTACCTACAATGCGAACCGCCGCCTTTTGCAGAGTAAATGCCTTCCGCGCGGTAACGGAGTTGCCCCATAACGAGACTCCATAATTAAGGTGACTGTGAACAAGAGAAAAAAATACAAAACCTTCATAACTGCATCACTCGGCGAAGGCCTCAGCTGCCTCATAACAAAAATCTGCGTTGCAAGCTTAGAACAGAGAGTGTCGACATGAGGTGCCCCGGATAAACTGGGATCTAAAGTAATACCCAGTAATTTCACATTATTAGTCCTATCAACTAATCTATCAGCTGTAAAATGCAAATGTTGGGTTTTAGTAAAATTCAGTTTAAGTTTATTTGAAGAAAACCAGGATTTAGCCTTTGATAGACACTCTCTACTATTATCCACACCGCCACGTGTCAAAAGGGTCGTGTCGTCAGCAAAAATAATACACTTGGAGTCACGCATATTGATTGGCAAGTCATTTATGTAAATTAAGAAAAATAATGGCCCCAACACCGATCCCTGCGACACACCATTTGTAACGGGCAGTATAGCGGAATTACAGTTGTTTATATTGACATATTGCCATCTATTTGACAAGTAAGAACCAAAAAGTTTCAACGCTAAACCTCGGGCACCATAATAGTCGAGTTTGCTCAGAAGTACATCAACGCAGTCAAAGGCCTTGGTCAAGTCACAAAACGTGGCGCTCCTTGTTTACCCATGATCAAGGCCATCAACTACGTCCTTAACAACAGTTAGTAAAGCTCTAATAGTTGAAGAATTCCTCCTAAAACCAAATTGAGACGGTGTCAGGATAAGGTGTTTTTCAAAAAAGGAGACACGTCTATCTTTACAAATCTTTTCTAAAATTTTACTGAAGTACAGAACAAAGCTGTAGGATGGTAATTGTCTAATAAATCAGTATTCTCCTTTTTGTGTAAAGAAAGAATCTTCACTATTTTAATGGAATCTGGCCACACACCCATTTCCAAGATTGAATTCCATTGAATTTTTAAGTGCCAGGATAGCTTGTCTCACATTCAACAACAGGAGATATGAAAAATGAGGAAAATTTTTTAGGAAAATTATGAAGATAAATTGAAGGACTAGTATTGACATCATCAATAGTTTTAAGTATATTATCAGATACAGCTGCAAAAAAATTAACTCGTTTACATTGTAAAAACACTATATTGGGAACAAAGAGACGTAGGTGATTTCTCTCTTTTTTTAAATTACCGTAAAAATAAACTCTATTTAATGCAAAAAGAGCAACTTCTCAAGCGGTTCTTGCCTGACCCTGGAACAAACTGTACGACCTTTATTTTATAGTTAACAAATAGGTGAAATATGACTTTAGATACCTTAAATTGTAGGTAATTTAATTGCTTACAACACAAAACAATTAATTATCATAAATAAAGTGCAATAAAATGTCTACCAATATTTTTTTTACGATCAAACTCCAATTCGACTGGAGTAAATTTTCAAATACTTATTTTTGAAAATTTATTTCAGTTGAACAAATTTTACATCTCAATCTGATCACACATTGTTTTCTTTATTTCTAATATAAAAATTAAGGATCCCTGTATTAATTAATTAATTATTCATTCATTCTTAACAATCATATCTTGTTCTCAAATTCTAATTATGATGCCGGAATTATTTTTTGATGGATTATAAAGTCGTCGATGTTATTTTAACCATCTTAATTAGATAAACAAATACGTCCAAATGCAGTGTAAAGTCCTTCCTCATGCATATATATTATTCATAAAGAAGTTTCTGCATCATAGACTTCGTTCGACGATATCCAACCGATTTACTTTTTAAATGGAGCATCAGTTTTGAGAGTCTTGTTGTATTGTTGTTTGTTTCGCAAAACTTTCAATTATTGAATACAAAATCGAAACTTCGCAACCTAAAATCAAAAATAATTATTTTTCCTTATGATTTCTCTAAGCACTAAATTTGACAGCAACATACTGACTTGTTTATAGACTTCCTCTAACATAACTATGCTATTATTACCTTACAAGAATCGAGTCACTTTTATCGTCCTGTTTTTGAAATATATGAAAGAAGAAACGACTTTTAACCACTTTAATTTTTTTTAGCTCAGGAATGAAGCTGATCTTGAAAGGGTTTTGAATGCCGCCCTTGAGTTAGGATACCATCACATTGACACTGCCTATGGATACAAAAATGAGGTGTTCATTGGGCGTGTTCTAAAAAAATGGTTCTCCTTGGGCAAATTAAAGCGAGAAGATATATTCATCACCACCAAGCTTCCACTGCCTGGCATACACCAGGACAGAGTGGAGTTGTTCATGAAGAAGTCACTGGAAAATCTCCAGCTGGAGTATGTTGATTTGTACTTGATCCATCATCCCATTGGGGTAAAATACTTTGGAGACGAAGATAACCGCATGGAAATAGACGATTTTGATCACATAAAAATTTGGAAGGTGACGGTTATACATATACAGCGTGTCCCACTAGTGCGGGAAAGTCCAATATCTATGTTAAAATGAGGAATATATGGATTTTTCTTTTTACTGTGTGTTGCCACATTTCTTGGAATGTACAAATTAAAAATATATACAACCATACAGGGTGTTCCACTTTTCCTGGCCAGACACCAACTTTGGTTTTTTAAATGGAAACACATATTTTTTATATATTTTTTTTCGGATTTTACATAAAAAATAAAGGGTACTTTGTGTAGAATAGTTCTACTCAAATATTCACAGTTTTTGAGATATCTCGCTTGAAAGGTTTTTCTAGTCAATATTGGCTGCTTACATTTTCTGATACTGACAGATTATACTAATAGCTACTAAGCCCATTTTTTTATCAGATGGTTCTTCCGAATCATGCTCCAAAAACTGGCCTGCGTTATACAGGGTGACCAAAATATCATGTCAAAATTGACAATTGAAAAATTGAAAAATCTCGATTTTTTTAAATGCAACGCCCTGTATATTTTCATACCATGAGATGCAGAATTAAATTCTCTACAACGTTGCTATACCTGCTCCTATACCAAAATTCATTAGTTTTTCATGAAATCTCATTTCTATGAAAAAATGCGAAGTTTACAAATAGCTTATATGTAAAATAACGTAATAGGCTCCTGTCAAAGGATAATCTGGAAAATTTTCGATTCACATAAGGTTTAATAGAAAAGCGACAGTAATAATTGTGAAATGAATTACTCTAAAGAAGAATTAGTAAATAAATAATACAACAATTAGTAAAACTCATGGTAACTGTTTACTGGCAAACCAATAATCCAGATTTACAAAGATATCATCGTACAAAGTGTTTTGTAAAACTGAAGAAGAGGTTTGAAAGAACAACAAATACAAATTATGAGAAGACAACAAGAACACGCGCATGCAGTATCCAAAAGAGTAAATCAACATCGTGCATTTCTAACAAAAGTAATAAAGACCTAGTTAAATTAGTAATTAACAGGTAACCGCTCAAAATGTCTGCCATTTTTCTATAGACATTGAGCAATTCTACAACGAAAATTACTTGACACATTTCGCAGCATTTCCGGAGTTAGGGTCAAAAAATCATTTCTTATTTTTGCCCGTAAATCTTCTACATCTGTCGGAGGAGTTTCATACACTCTGTCTTTTATATAGACCCATAAAAAAAATCAAGACAAGACAGGTCTGGGGATCGGGGAGGCCATGGAGGCTACCTATCAACTTATCTGGATACAAACCATTTAAGTATTGTCTAACCTGAAACAGTTTTTCTATGAATTTACATAACTTACATAATGAGAAAACTAACCGCCAGTGTGGAATGTGCAGGGGCACCATCATGTTGGAGCCACTGACTGTTTAAGTCATCTGGAGGAATATGTCCCTGCAATTGGAGCAAGTTGTTTTGTAAAAATTGCAAATACCCATTACCAGTTAAGTTTCCTTCAAGAAAATGTGGTCCAATCACATATTCTCCGCATATTCCCGCCCAAAAGTTGACTTTAAAGCGGTGTTGATGATCGTCTTGTCTTATTAATCTGGGATTATGATCGGCGTAATGGTGACAATTGTGTCGACTCTCTCGACCAGTATTGGAAAAGGATGATTCGTCAGTAAATAATACCTTTGAAAAAAAAAAATTCATCTTGTTGTAGCTTTATAGTTGCCCACTCACAAAATTATACTCAAATGCGTGTGTTCTTGTTGTCTTCTCATAATTTGCATTTGACGTTCTTTCAAACCTCTCCTTCAGTTTTACAAAACACTTTGTACGAGGATATCTTTGTAAATCTGGATTATTAGCTTGGTAAATACGACTTGCCAATAATGAGTTACCATGGGCTTCTCTTCTTCTATTAAATCTTTCTTTCTATTAAACCTTATGTAAATCGAAAATTATCCAGATTATCCTTTGACAGGAGCCTACTACCTTATTTTACATATAAGCTATTTGTAAACTTCGCATTTTTTCATAGAAATGAGATTTCATGAAAAACTAATGAATTTTGGTATTTGAGCGGGTATAGCAAAGTTGTAGAGAATTTAATTCTGCATCTCATGGTATGAAAATAAACAGGGCGTTGCATTTAAAAAAAATCGAGATTTTTCAATTTTTCAATTGGTAACTTTGACATGATATTTTGGTCACCCTGTATAATGCAGGCCAGTTTTTGGAGCATGCTTCGGAAGATTAATCCTTAATAAACATCTGATAAAAAAATGGGCTTAGTAGTATTACTATAACCTGTCAGTATCAGAAAATGTAAGCAACCAATATCGACTAGAAAAACCTTTCAAGCGAGATATCTCAAAAACTGTGAATATTTGAATAGAATATTCTCCACAAAGTACACTTTATTTTTGATGTAGTATCCGAAAAAGATATAAAAAATATGTCTTTCCATTTAAAAAACCAAAGTTGGTGTCTGTCGAGGAAAAGTGGAACACCCTGTATAGTTGAATATATTTTAAATTTGTACATTCCGAGAAATGTGACAACACAGTAAAAAGAAAAATCCATATATTCCTCATTTTAACATAGTATTGGACTTTCCCGCACTAATGGGACACGCTGTATATATATATTTTTTCAATTTTGTTTAAACTAATTGTTTATTTTGCAGAAAATGGAGGAGCAAGTCCATCTTGGAAGGACGAAAACGATAGGTTTATCCAACTTCAACAAAAGACAAATCGAAAGGATTATAGCATCTGCCAGGATAAAGCCAGCGTGTTTGCAGGTGGAACTGCACGTTGACTTTCAACAGCGAGATCTTGTGGGGTATTGTCACAAAAATGGGATAGTAGTGGTTGCATATTCTCCTTTAGGGGCTCCAGGAGCGAAGAGATTTGAGTAAGGCATCGGAATACATCGCAAACGAGCACTTTTTTAATTAAATGTTTAACTTTAGGGATAGAAAAGTTCCGGCAGTCATTAATTCTGATCTAATTAAAAACATAGCGAAGAAATATAATAAAAGTCCTGGACAGATAATGTTGAGGTATCTCCTACAGAAGAATATAGTTGCTATACCGAAGAGTTCGAGTCCAGAGCGATTAAAGGAAAACATCAGCGTCTTTGACTTTGAAATAAATTCAGAGGACATAAGATCTTTAGATGATCTCGATGGTGGTGAAACAACCAGGCTGACCACTTTTAAATCTGTTCCAGGGTAAGAACTATTCAATTAAATACATATAGATTATGAAACGTCATTAATGAGATATATGAATGAAATTATTTTGTGGTGCATAAATATATCCAAGTTGGATCAAATTTATCTTCAGTTCTCTTAAACGAAATCATTTCATTTCTCATGCTTCCAGAACCATTTTAAAGGTACCTACCCGAGGTCAGATTTCAAATAGTAGTTATTTAGCTGTTTATAACCTCCATGTAGGACTTCTACGTTTTATGCCAAATATGTGTGTGTTATTTTGATTCTGGGGTGGATCTATTTTTAATTCTTCAAGATATCTGAAAAAATTCTGTATACAAATTATATTTCAATCACCTTACTCACTTTATTTTCATGGAGGTACATGGTTGTTACAGAATTTTATCTGTTTAGAATTCTTTTCAATAATTCCAAACCTTAGGAAATTGTCATATGTTGACCACAATACTTTTTAACTATTCAAATTTGATTTATTGTTTGTTTGATTGAACCTCGACAGCGAGTTATAAGCAGTAAATGAAAAAAAAATAATTTCTAAAATGTGCCTTTTGTTAATTGTGGAAAGCCCAAATATTCAGTGAAGTCTTAGGTAATAGACCCTCAATAGAAATAATGTAATCACGTGCTAATTCTATCGCATTCTTACTTATTTTACTCTTATTTACTCTTATTTTATAAAAAAGAAAAATTGAGCGATTTGTATGTACCAAATGACAAATTATTTTTGTTTTAGAATAGAGAAGCATCCTGAATATCCATTTTAAGAAATACCTAATTTATTTTAATTTGAGATCCAATAAAATTTATTTAAAAAAGTTGCCTATGTCTTTTTCTGCATCTTGCCGAAGCTGGTACCTATATTCATTGTCCTTTTTCCTCTAATGTTTGAAAAATAATTTTAAAATAAATAATTTGAAAATGTCGTATGATTGCACAATGTTACAAATTTTAAAGATGGGTAATTTGAAATTGATTGCACAATATTGCTTTAAAATATATGATAACTCGTTATTTGTTAACTCATGATGATTAGAGCTTGGCGAATTTGGAGATATCACGTAACTAACAGATGCATACTTATGAATGCAGGTACATAGATTATTAAACAAAACGAGAAGATAACTTTGTAAAAGTAAACTGGAACGTAAAAATATGTTTATATTGTAATATAAATATCTATATGTGACTTTTAATAAACTCCCTATAGGTAATAGTTTTTTATGTACCTAGGGTCGTAAGTGCAATGTTAATGATGAAAATACGGTTTGCAAATATTTGAGAACATAAAACTACAGGTAAACGCGTGGTGCATATGAGATTTTTATAATATGTAAATTTAATATTTTTTTAATGAATAAGTTTGTTCTTTCAGTACATCTCATAATATATGCATTAATAATATAAAGCAATTAATTTCATTACAATTAGGTAAGCAGGGTAATGATTGAAGTATGTACGACCCTATTTAAATTTATGATTAAGAAGGGGTCCAGAATGTATCAGTTATGTGTTAATAATATTTTAAAGCGACATCTAAAACTTTTTTATTTTATTATTTAAAGAAACGGTTGTAGGTGGCACAGATTTTTTGAAAAAAAAATCTCATGCTCCTTGAATAACAGTTGTTTATACGTATTTTGACATATTTCTTCCGTCATTGATTTTACGTTGCATTATTAAATTATTTCTGTTTGTTTCTCAATATTAAATATTTTATTATGTATTACTTTGTTTGAAAAACTTAACCATTTCAAATGTAATGAATCCATAAAGAAGCCATTTTTCTAAAAAAAATCTTGCATTTCATTTAAAATTAGTAAGACACCTGTTTTCTATAGAATAAACGCAATGTAAAAAAATATATTCATTTTGAAAAATTTCTAGTGGCGTAGAAATTATATTAATAATAGGGGTTACCAGAGCCCCTTCCGTACGCCTATGATTGATCTATGTTCACAATAATTTGTAAAATCGATAGAGCTTTTCATTCGTACACTTCATACTAAATAAAACAAATGGCTTTCATAGTTTAAGAAAAAATAAATAAAAGTCAAAAAAAATATTTCTTTTCAAGATCTTATTTCTCTAAAAGGAAGCCTTTGGAAGAAAAAGTGTATACTTCAAAATGATATTATTTTGACGAGATATATCGATGGTTAAACTCCTAATCATAAAAAGTGAATCACCCTGTATAAATTTGCATACGGAATATTCTAATGTTAATAAAAATTGCATACGTATGTAAAATATTTATTGAGACATCAATAAAAATAAAATGTGTAACAAGTAGATTATTATTATTCTCGCCACCTACTACAATAGACATTACTGCAAGTCATGCACACAGTAGTTGTAGGTAGGTCATGCCAATTTATACCTCATAGATAGTCTCTTCTGTGCATTGTACTCCACTGACGTATTTTGACGCTTAAAGTATCACCGAATATCTCTTCAAGGTCAATAAGTATGCAAACATCAAAATATCTTATCAAAAAATTTACCTCAACGATGTAGGTACGTGACGTATATAAATACCAGTGTGTAGTGAAAACTGTTATTATAAAACTAAATCGTAAAGTTCAAAAACATGGCTGCTAAAATATTTAAGGATTTACCTGGAGGCTTGAAAATGCCGGCCATAGGTTTAGGAACAGGTTCCGTAAGTATTATTCTTATTAATTTTAAGTTTTTAAATAAAATGTTACATACGACATCGTTACGTTATTTAAGGCAAATAAAATATTTTAATGGCATTTTTTAATTAGAAGAAAACTGATAAATCGATGTCAGTCAAATATAGCATAAGGCTTGATAGTTATTGATTTATTGTTCATAAACATCACAGATATATGTATATACTAAAATTGTACTTGTTGCATGTTGCTAGGAATCATAATTTTCAAAATAAATAATAAAATGTACAATAAATAGTAATTACTCATGTAGTGAAGTTATTTTTCAGTATCATGTTAATAATAATTCAAGCAATCATTTCATTCATCATTCATAAATTAAATATTATTTACTTGGCTTCCCTCATCTGTTTTTTACATTTTGAAATAAATCGTGTATTTTGATTGATTTTGATGTTTATAGGTAGTTAATTTATTAAATAGAAGCTGCTACTACAGTTCGGACAAGCATTTTAGTTATTTGCAATATCACTTGTTTATAGATAACAGAATTAAATTTTGAAGTATAACTATTATCTCGATCTCATTCAGTCCAACCACTTTCCATTAATTTTCGACCATCACGTTAGTACTACACGGACAAAACTCGAGTATATCTCTAGTAAAATCACTTACGAATTTATTGCAATTTCTCAATACAGTAACTAGTAAGTTTTATCGTCCGTAATTCTCTAGAATTGAACTGAATTTTTAAATAGGTATTTAATTAAGTGCAGCAAATATAAAGAAAAACACTACACGTTACTGATGATGACTTGGTCTCGCTAAGAAGTACATTCATAAATAATTTTTTCGAAAACTGTCTTAAATTATTGATATTCTAATTATCTTTTCTAAGGGTTAAAAATGCGTTTCAGTTAAGTGAAATGGGCAACTTTTTGTTCTGAAATTTTTACAGACAGTTTTTATTTATAAATTCAGTTAGATAAATTCTTCAATTGCTCCAGTCGAATCGTAAAACCTAAAAGTTTATAAAAATTATTAGTAGACATTTTATCGCAATTTATATCGGGGAAGGGTATGTAGAACGATAATATTAAAAAAGTAACTCGAAAGAAGAAATTACGTATTTTTTCATTTTTTCACTGCTCATGAAAATCTAGATGATCTATCGGAAAATTAGTTATTTTGTGTTGTTTTGTCTTACAATTTAAAGTACCTAAAGTCATATTTCACCTATTTGTTAACTGTAAAATAAAGGTTGAACACGGAAAAATAAATTTTCCAAAGTTGCACATTATAATTGCAAAAATCGATGGATAGAAGAGTGATCGAAAAAACTGACAATTCAAAGACAAACATGTGTGTCGAGAGTCGATACGATTGGCAGTAAAATTGTTGCTTGTTGGTATTTGTTAATTAATTTCGTTCGTTTTTTTGCATTTACTCGTTTAATTACTAAACGTTAATTTTAGAAGTTAATATCGCAGATTCAATTGATCCAAAGAAACGTATCGAAAAATAAATAATTCAAAATTTAAGTAGCAGTATAATAACTATTTTATAAATGTTACTAACCATGTTATAAGTAATTTACCCGTTAATAACACCGATTTAAATAGCTGCCTCCAATTACTCCATACACTGTATAGTTTTTCCTTTTCTGAAATGTCCCCTTGGGAAGTCATTGATATTGTTAAGAGTTTTGAGAGCAAACCCTGTTTGGATGTAAATAATATTTCAAAAAAATTTTTAAAATCAATAATCGACTTAATATTAATACCTTGCTCTGATTTAATTAATTATTGTATACGTAAAAATATTTTCCCCCAATGTTTAAAAATTTCTAAGGTTGTTCCTATTTTTAAAAATAATTATATTAATAATCCCTCTAATTTCAGAGCTATCTCTGTAATACCTCATCTAGCTAAAATATATGAAACTATCTTAAAAATACAAATAACTAATTATTTTGAGACTCGGGGACTTTTCAATCCTCAACAATTCGGTTTTCGAAGTAATCTATCGACCACACTAGCCATAGATTGTCCACAATAAACAATAGTTTTGAAGAAGAGAAATATGTTGCTAGTCAATTTTTAAATTTGACAAAAGCTTTCGATTGTGTATCACACGAAATTCTTAAACATAAGCTACATAATTATGGCTTTTCATCGTACAGTTCGGATTTATTGAGATCATATTTGAGTAATCATCCACAAAGAATATTGAATATGAAGTTCCACAAGGTTCCATATTGGGTCCGTTACTGGCTCTAATATATATTAATGATTTTCCTAATTGTTTACCTCATAATACTAAAATTATACATTTGCTGATGATACCAACTTAAACTTTGAACAGTTAATGACTTCAACTTATGACCAACATGCATCGGTAGAAAACTGGTTTACTAGTAATCCACTCAGTTTGAATACTTCGAAGACCGGAAGTACGATTTTTAGTCTCCGGAATATGGAAAACTGGGATAATCCAGCACATGTAAAATTCTTGGGAGTTCATCTTGACCCTAAACTGACATGGGATCAACATGTTAATTATAAAAAAATACTTAATAAAGAAATGCCTTTTATAGTTTTGATGATTTTTATTGACAGTAATGAATGTTATCATTAATCTTAGTGTGTCGTTTATCCTATTTATTTTAATAATATGTTGTTTATGAATATTTGTATAACACTTAGTTAATTGCTGTCATGATGTGTTCTTTACCACTTTCTTTTTTTTTTGGACGCGTGTAAACACTTTTATGTGTATGTAACATTTAAATAAAATAAAAATAAATAAAATAAACAATAGAATGACGAAAAGACTTTAACCACTTTTTTTCAGCTCAGGGATGAAGCTGACCTTGAGAGGGTTTTAAATGCTGCCCTCGAGCTAGGATACCGTCACATTGACACTGCCTATGGATACAAAAATGAGGTGTTCATTGGGCGTGTTTTAAAAAAATGGTTTTCCTCGGGCAAATTAAAGAGAGAAGATATATTCATCACCACCAAGCTTCCACTGACTGGCATACACCAGGACAGAGTGGAGTTGTTCATGAAGAAGTCACTGGAAAATCTCCAGCTGGAGTATGTTGATTTGTACTTGATCCACCATCCTATTGGGGTGAAATACTTTGGAGATGAAGATGACCGCAAGGAAATAGACGATGTTGATCACATAAAAATTTGGAAGGTGACGGTGATGTATTTTTGTTAATTCTGTTTAAAATAATTGTTTATTTTACAGAAAATGGAGGAACAAGTCCATCTTGGAAGGACGAAAACGATAGGTTTATCCAACTTCAACAAAAGACAAATCGAAAGGATTATAACATCCGCCAGGATAAAACCAGCGTGTTTGCAGGTGGAACTGCACGTTGACTTTCAACAGCGCGACCTTGTGGGGTATTGTCATAAAAATGGGATAGTAGTGGTTGCCTATTCTCCTTTAGGGACGCCAGGAGAAAAAGGATTTAAGTAAGGCATCGGACTACATCAAAAACGAGCACTTTATTAATTAAATTTTTAACTTTAGGGATAGAAAAGTTCCGGAAGCCATTAATACTGATATAGTCAAAAACATAGCGAAGAAATATAATAAAAGTCCTGGACAGATAATGCTGAAGTATCTCCTACAAAAGAATATTGTACCTATACCGAAGAGTTCGAGTCCAGAGCGATTAAAGGAAAACATCAGCGTCTTTGACTTTGAAATTAATTCGGAGGACATAAGATCTTTAGATGATCTCGATGGTGGTGAAACAGCAAGGCTTTTCACTTTTAACTTTATTCCAGGGTAAGAACATTTCAATTAAATAGGTATAGATCATGAAACGTCATTAATTAACATTTGAATAAAATTTTTGGTGCATAAATATATCCAAGTTTGTTCAAATTTATCTTGAGACACATTATTACTCTTAAATGAAATCATTTAATTTTCTCAAGCATCCAGAACCACTTATTCTGAAGGTAGCCCGAGGTCAGATTTCAAAAGGTAATTATTTAGCTGTTTATAACCGCCGTGTTCTACATTTTATGCCAAATATGTGTTATTTTAATTCTGGGTATTTGGTTCTGGGTTTGATTTATTTTTAAATTTTTAAGTAGGTAAATCTGAAAAAATCCTATATAAAAGTTATATTTCAATCACCATAGTCACTTTATTTTGAAGAAGAAACATGAATTTTATAGAATTTCACCTGTTCACAATTTTTGCGAGTTCGTATATCAGAACTCTTGTTTTTCAATATTTCCAGTGCAAACCTTTGGAAATTGTCATAATGCTGACCACAATGTTTTTACTATTCAAATTTGATTTATTTTTTATTTGATTAGATCTCGACAGCGAGGTTATAAGCAGTAAATAAAAAGAAATCTGAAATGTGCCATTTCTTAATAATGGAAAGCTCAAATCTAAGGGCAACGAGACATTAGAATTATAAAAAAAATATAAAAACGTACTCATTCTATTGCACTCTTACTTGTTATAATAACGATAAATTGAGCTTTTTTTATGTACCAAATGACAAACTTTATGATTGAACTAATACTTATTTTTGTTTTAGGATACAAAATCATCCGGAATATCCATATTAAGAAATAATTTATTGTAATTTGAGATCCAATAAAATTTATTTTTAAAAAGTTGCTTATGTTTTTTTCTGCATTTTGCTAAAGGTGATACCTTATTCATTGTCATTTTTTCACTAATGTCTGAAAAATAAATAATTTGGAAATGTCGTATGATAACACAATGTTACGAATTTCAAAGATGTTAAGTAACTGAGGTAATTTGAAGTTGATTACACTGTATATTGTTTTAAAATAGGTATATGAAAAAAAATTTAACTCATTATTTGTTAATAGAGCTTGGCGAATTTGGAGATATCACGTAATTAACAGATGCATACTTAGGAATGCAGTTGGGTATAGGACCTTCGTACTTAAAAGTTCATGTTATGTAGAATCATCACAACAAATTTCACCAAAATTGGTTCGATAAATTTTGCATAATAATTTTGCAATCCAGATTTTGAAAAAAAATTTGCAAATTTTCAAAATTTAGCACAGCAAAAACCAAGGCCCTTAGATACTTGAAAATTTAATAACATATAGAAAAGCTCTCAAGCTTTCAAACGCTTTTCAAAATTAACCGTCATTTACACTAAATGTACTGGGACATCCGGGCTAATTATTCGAAAAATACCTTTGGCATTCCGAGTTCTTACCGGGTCTAAGTTTGCAATACTTTTCTTCATTGGCAATCTACTTTAAAACGCACTTAAAATTATTTATGCAAGCGAGAAATTAAAGAAAATCGTACGGGTGGTGGTGGGGGAAGCAGAGAGCGCGGCCGCTTTGGCCTGCTCGAAATTGAATCGGCTAGTTCAAAACCGCGACGCGCTTAAAAATTTTTAATATCTCAGCTTCTAGAGGTCCGATTTTGAAGATTTTTTTTCTAAATCGATGTCTCGCGATTAAAAAAAAAATTTACCCAAAAATTTCAATTTTCTCCGAAATTTATCAGCAAGCCTTGAATTTTGACTACAGGATCATGTTCAGCGTATCCTTCGGAATTGATATGTGAGTCTTTTGAGTTTGGACTTTTCTTTGTGAGCCTGTGGAATTAAAATACCGTACCTATAGACGTATTCTAAACTTGTTAATGTTGTGTATAATGATAACTCATCAAAAATGTAATTAAAGTGTGATGCTATGTTTATAACAATCTTAATTTTTAATTTCCATTATTATCAGCAAATAGAAATCGATGGATCAACTGTAGATAATACACATTTAAGGCAGTTGTAGTATTTAATCTACTAAACATTGGATGTAGTATACGATCAAATTACAAGCATATAAAAAATATAACTTTAATTAGATTAGTTATATTAAAAGAGATTGTGTGGCTTGAGGTAAATATTTATAAAGCATTTGAAGACACAGTGCTGTTCTAGATATTGCATGTTATAGTTTATATTTATTACATAATTATTACTTTGCAAATATAGCATGTGTTTGAAAATTAGAATAAATGGAGAGTTAAAATTGAACCCAGAAAACTAATATTAGTAACACACCACGAGGAATTGTTTTGGGTCCAGTATTATTGTTCGTTGTGTATATTGACGATATCAGAGGTCATCGTATCTCGTGATGATACTGGAGTTATTTTTATACTGAGAATATTAGGTCAGATCCGCCTCAAAACAAGAGAATGTGAAATTAAGATACAACAAATTTGGTTTAATTTTAATAAGATTAGTCATTACATTTTTATTTCTTAGTGTAACTTGTACGAGTCAACTGTCCAAATAGGGAAAACAAACAATAAACAAATACTTATTGTCCTTGAAGAACATGTGATATGGAATGAGCACCCAAAAGCAAGTAATTTTGCTACTTATTTGCTATTTTCCGCTACTTCTTTCGAGTTAGTTTTTTGATATTATCATTCTACTTCACTGTCATAAAGTGCAATAAATTTACAGTTGACAAAGCGAGTCTTTTTTGTCACCTAGCTGCAACATACTTTTATGTTCTAGAACGCCAAAATCTCTTTCGTTCTAAAATATAAAACAAATGTTAAAATAATTCTATATATATATATATATATATATTTCTATATATGTCTCCGCTACCGTATTGGTGGTAATATCGGCCCCTGCGTCGGCTGAAGAGTGGCGGAAGAACGTCTAAAGCAGTGCCTGCATCTGGCGGCAAATTGAGATAAGTTGCTATTTCTTAACCTGTTGGTTAACACATTTTTCCCTGACTTATAGCAACTGTAGGACATAAAGCGGTACTTGCGGTATATCTTCATTTGGTCTGGACTAGAAATCACAAAACATTTCGGAGTATTAGTTTTGGAATGGAAAATTCTGATAATAATAATTGAATCTTTGTCTTCTACATCAACGATCGTTATCTTTAGTAGCTCATCTCTTCCCCAAACTCCACAACACCCATTATTAAAATGACCTGAAAAGTCCTAAATTAGTTACATCGATATATTTATATTAATTTAAATTACCTTTTTCTAGCAGAAATCTATTATCAGGTGCTTCTTGTAAAAATCTGTCAATTTCCTCCTTCATTAGAATTCTGGACTTTTTCGGACAGTATCCAACTGATTTGCTTTTCAAATATGGTATTAGTTTTGGAAATTTTCTGAGATTTACATTTTTTTTCTTAGTATTCAGTGTACTTTTTAACATGGAATATACTTTTTGGGAATTAATTAACTATTTTATCTTAAACTTTAATTCGACTGGAATATTACAAAATTGTTCATTTACACTAGCTAAACTAAACATGTCAGTTCCACGGGAAAAATCAAATTCAAATAAATAATGTTTAAATTTGAAGCATTTGTACTTTAAAACTGTATATTGTATTTTAAAAATTGGTAGATTATGAAAAAATTGAATGTTTAACAAATTTAATCCAAACGATAATTCATTATACTATGAAGTACACCTCTCACTTGGGAAAAGGGTATTCTGGATGTTCAAGAATTCTGAAAAAAATATTATGAACAGTAACGCATCTTTATATTTCTTCTTCATTTATAAACATACCCTGAAAATAATTTGAAGTCGCATATACGAGCCTTCTCTCCAACTTCAAGATCGTCAAGAATTTTCATATCCGCAGCGCATATATTAAAGTCAAAAATTTCAATATTCTCTTTGATTCTAGCTGCAGTAACACTTTTTGGTATAGCTGCAATTTTTCTCTGCAAAAGGTATCTGAGCATAATTTGCGCGTTGGTTTTCTTGTATTTGGTAGCCATTCCTTTGATGGTCTCGTCATGGAGCATATCCGGTAGCTTCTTTGGCCTGAAAATACTTCATGGTCTCCTCTGTCAGGCTTTTAATACGAAATATGCTTACGGCAATCCAAACAGTGCTAAAAACTTGTTGAATGCAGGCGAACCCAAGGGCGAATATGCAACTACAACGATGCTATTCTGGTGACAAAATGTCACTAACTGTCTTTGTTGCAAGTAAATGTGCAATTCGACCTGCAAACATGCTGGTTTGATTCTAGCAGACTTTAGTATCCGATCGACCTGCTTGAGATTGAAGTTTGACACCCCAATCGTCTTGGTTCTACCAGCGTCAACTTGCTCTTCCATTTTCTAAAACGTAACAGCAATGAATGTAGAAATTATCTTTCATTTAAAATACTTATTGATGTATCTACATGAAATTGAAAGCTTGGCGTTTTCATTTAGCTACAGTGTACCTTCCAAATAGCTACGTGATCGGTTGGCTCAGTTTGAGTTTTATCTGGTGTTGGAAGAGCTTGACCTTCAACGTATTTGGTCCCGATTGGAAAGTGTATCAAATACAAATCGACATACTCCAGCTGCAGATTTTCCAGCGACTTCTTCATAAACATCTCCACCCTGTCTTGATGTACTCCTGGCATTGGAAGTTTGGTGGTTATGAAGACTTCTTCTCTCTTTAGTTTTCCACAGGAAAACCAATTCTTGAGTATGCGACCTATAGTGGCTTCGTTTTCGTAAGAAAAAGCCGTATCAATGTGGCGGTAACCCGACTCTAGTGCTGTGTCGAGCACGTTTTCTATCTCTGCATCACTAGACTAAAAAAATTTTTAGTTGTATCAGCATTTTTAAATACTTAATTCTGAAACATTTTAGTGTGTTTAGTTATACCATATATTTTTCCAGAGTTATTAGTCAGATAATAAAAATCTTCCTACATATCTAAGAGTAAAAATATGGTAACAGTAAAATAATTTATGAAAATTACACCTTACGTGAAACTTTTTGGGAAATATTGTTATAGTTTATTCGTTATGCCACTTGAGTTACTATTCTTACCTGCCAAGTACCGAGTCCTATAGCAGGCATTTTCAGCCCTCCTGGCATATCCATAAATATTTTTGCCGCCATTTTTTGATATGATGAATTATTATTTAACAGTATTGCTCATAATTTGAACAGAAATAAATTCTAATTTGCGGAAAATTACTTCAAGATGACATCAAACGTCAAAGTTCATGACACCATCATTGACTCGTGTGTTATTTGGGTTGTTGGCTATACAAACAAACCACATACAAATTGTTGTTGATACAAAGATTTTATAAAAAAGAACCAGCTTGTATAGTAAAATTTTAAATATATCACAAATTAGTGGTAGAAATCATTTATGAATTTATGCGTTACTTACTTCGAACATACAAGTATACTACTGGAGATAACATGCCATTGCGAAAAGTGTGGTTGAGTGTGCGAGAGAGGACAGACAGCATCTCAGTAGCTGCTGTCTCACTCTAGCACGCATGCGGATGGAAATGAATCTCGCGCTCATTGGCTCCCGCAGAGCTCCCGTTGTTGCAGCGAAGAATGAGACAGCATGTTCTGAGATATTGTCTGTCTCTCTCGCACACCCAGCCACACATTTCGGAATGGCAGGCTACCTAGTAGTATACGCTCTAAAGGTTACTTAAAAACTAGTCATAAGGGGCAAGAAGCTAGGTAGCAATCCTAATTTTGAAGAAGAAGAAAATGTGTTAAAGTTGTCAGTGAAACCTTGTTTTTTAAAACAAAAGTGACAGCAGTGGCTATGAATTAAGAGTGTATTGTAATAGTTATTATTAATTTCCTGATTGTATCCATTGCAACAAAATTTAAGTGGTAAATAAACACAATAAAATCATTCATTAAATATGTTGATCTTACCTGACTGCTTTTGTACCTCCGATTTCTGCAATATTAAAAGGGTCTTTTTAAAAATATCCTGACCGGTAAAATTTACGAAGTAGCTTTCACAAATCCTATTTCACCCATTATGTTTTAATGCTAATGGAAGATATTAAGTGATTATTACTAAATAATAATTTTATTTAATAAAAGAATTCGAAGATTAAGGAAAATAACTTGTAGACTTGAAGATATTTTATGCGAAATGCGACAAGTGTCACTAACAGAGTTGACAGATCGTCTTCTTCTTCTGAATATAAAACGATGTAAAAATATAATTGTTTTATTAATAAACAAAATATATAATTCAAAATTGAATTGACACAATAAAAATAACTTAAAAGAAAATTTTTATTTGGGAAAAGGAAATTCTGGGTGGTCCAGTAACCTGCAAAAAATATGTAATATTAGATATACAGGACGCTTATAAAACCAATTAGAAAATAAACAATCATATATATTTTCTGCAATGAATCAATGAAATAGAACAAAAGTGCTATAACTAACCTAGGGAAGAATTTAAAATCACATATGCGAGCAGCTTCCCCAACTTCAAGAGCATCTAGAGCCTTCATATCTGAAGTATCTAAAAAATAATCGAACACATCTATGTTTTCTTTGACTCTAGCTGGAGTAATGCTTTTTGGTATAGCTGCGATATCCCTTTGAAGCAGGTAGCGCAACATCACTTGCGCGTTGGTTTTCTTATGCTTCCTTGCGATTGTTTTGATGGTCTCATCATTGAGCATGTCTGGCAACTTTTTTGGTCTGAAATTTAAAAATGCTTATAAACAAAAAAATATATATAAATTGAGTTGTTAGAAACCTTACTCGTTGCCAAGAAGCGCTGTAAAATTATTATATCCTGGAGATCCCAAAGGACAATAAGCCACAACAACAAGACCGTTCTGGTGACAAAAATTCACGAGTTCCCTTTGTTGCAGGTAGACATGCGATTCAACTTGTAAACACGCTGGCTTGATTCTAGAAGATTTTAGTAACTTAGCGATTTGCCTGAGGTTGAAATTTGAAACTCCTATAGTCTTAGTTCTACCAGTATCGACTTGTTCTTCCATTTTCTGAAAAGCGCATAGATGAAAAAATTTAAAGGGTATCAACAACACCAGTATACCTTCCAAATTTCTATGTGGTCGCTCGGTTCGGTCTGAAGTGTGTCTGGTGATGGTCTGAACTGACCCTCAACATACTTAGTGCCAACAGGGAAATGGATCAAATATAAATCAACGTAGTCCAACTGAAGATTCTCTAGTGACTTCATCATGAACATCTCCACCCTATCCTGGTGTGTACCAGGCAATGGAAGCTTGGTTGTTATGAAGAGATCTTCCCTTCGTAGTTTTCCAGAAGAAAACCATTTTTGGAGAACTCGACCAATTATTGCTTCGTTCTGGTACACCAAAGCCGTATCTATGTGGCGATAACCCACCTCAAGGGCAACGTTTAGAGCGTTTTTTAACTCTGCTTCATTAGTTACCTGAAGAAGGTGGATAACATGTTACTAAAAATATGTATATAATCTTTTAATATTCCTTGCAATAAAGTCGTTCAAAATGTAATCTCAAATTCGTGTTAAGTACATTAAAAAAAAGGGAAAAGAGAATAAAAGTTTTACTTTATGTCGCTTGAGCCTTCAACTTACCGTTTTGAAGGTTATCAGCGTGACCTTTATAACACCATAATGTACGATTATCAAATTATTTAAAACTAGCAACCCGCTCCGGCTTCGCTCGGGCAAATATAAAATAGCCTACGTTACACCAAGGAGATGTAGCTTTCGGTAAAATTGGTTGAGTAGTTTTTGAGTTAAATCGTAACAAACAAAAAATCAATCATCTTTCATTTAATGCGACCCTAATATTAATTTTAAAATAATTCACGATATATCTATATACCTAAAGACAACAAACGAACTCAAAACTAAAAATGCTAAACCTTTAAATTTAAAACAATATCGGTAACTACCAACAATGTGAAAACAAAACGAAGTACCTATTCTCAGGACTATCAATTTTAATTAATAAGTAAGTAGTTAGGTATCTAACTACCTAAAGAAAACAAACACGAAACAAAAATGCGACTATGAAGTTTTAAATGATTCACAATAAGAAAAAAACAAACAAATTATTAAAACTCAATGAAATAAAAGTATGTTTGCAAGTATCTATGTATGTTCCGACTGCCTAAAGACAACAAATACAAAACAAAAATGTGACCTTAAAATTTCGAACGCAATTATAACTTTCCAACAACACCCAGAAAGAAAACACAGTCATCAGTCGTCACCTCCATTCGCTCCAAGTCAGTTTATTAAAGGATCACTCGCGCATTATCGTTCAGCTTATTAGCTAAACAGTAGGCAAGACGGTGCGGGGGGAGGGTCGGCGATCGCATCAAGCGAAGCGAGGCGCTTGAATTTTATTCTCGCGTCCGTAATTTTTTTGCGATTACTCCTAAGATATTCATTTAAATTATATGATGTAAACGAGTAAAATAATGTGCATGAAATGCTTAAAGCCTCTAACTTATTTAAAATAATAAGAATTAATACCGTATTTGTGTAAATAGCTTTTACATTACCGCTTTATAATTGCCAATTTTTTAAAGTATTAAAATGGACATAGGTAGTATGTTATCGTTAACATATAGACATATGCCATCGCGGACTTTTCTGTAGGCATATATAAGATACACAATTCCACCATACATTGATACACTACATAAACTTTCGGACCCCCCGGCTAGGACGCTAGGCGCGGGGTCACGGGGCGCTCGCGCGGCCTGGTCGAATCACGGCGACACGAAATTAATTTCGTTGCGCATTATTTTGATTTTGCTATATCTCCTAAGGTATTCGTTTAATTTGCATGGTGTAAAGGGAAAAAATAATCTTCATGAAATGCTCAAGCCAACTAACGTATTTAAAATAATAAGGATTAATACCGTATTTGTGTAAATATCTTTCCAATTACCGCTTTATAATTGCCCATTTTTTAAAGTATTAAAATGGATATAGTATGTTATCCTTAAGAGATAGACATATGCCATCGCGGACTTTTCTGGAGACCTATATAAGATACACAATTCCACCATACATTATTTTGTTATATCTCAAAGGGTTTAGGCAGCGTTTTCGTTGAAAGCTCCCAGACGGCATATTTTTTTCCGACACCTCCAACAAATATCGTTAATGTATACAAAAACTTAACAAATTATACTTATACTAAAACCTTCCTTGAGAACCACTCTATCCATTGGTGAAAACAGCATGAAAATCGGTGCAGTAGTTTTTGAGTTTATCGCGAACAGACAGACAGACGCGGCGGAGGACTTTGTTTTATAATATGTAGTGATGATGGCACACATTTAGTTAATTAGTGCCAATCTAAGGTACATTTTAAATCTGTTGTTTCTTTATATGTTAAAATAACTTAATTCTTACCTGCCAAGTACCAAGTCCTATAGCAGGCATCCTAAGTCTTCCTGGCAGCTCCTTAAATATTTTTGCTGCCATAACTGAAGTAATATTAATAAAAACTAGCACTCTTTATTATGAAAACGAACAAATGTGTGTATATTCCAAAACATGCACAACTATATCAAGATGATTTACTCAATGTTTCTAGCAAAACGAATAAATTAAAAATGTATAATTTTACCGAGTAAATTGATTTAACACATTTCTTATCTGTCGCGTGTAAGACTTCCGGCAGTTTTAAGATTTGAATGAACAATGACCTTAGTTATGAAATTCTGTAATTGATAGAATTAATCTAGTGGCGTATTTAAAAAAATGTTGCGACACGAAACGCCACACAATCAGCAAAATAATGTTTAAATAGGGCACTAATGTAAACTCAAGTAACGGGCTCACATAGTTTTATTTCTATTGATGGATACCGTCCCATTTTTTTCATCAGATTATCAAAATAAATATTTTTAGTTACTCACGACTAAGGCTAATAGCCTCCATATCTTAAAAACTAACAATTTTAGGTGTAGTACATAATTAATAAAAGTTGGACCGATATGTGAAAAAAATAGAACAATAAAATACAGGGTGTTCCATTTGGAAGGTTTTAGAAAATTAAGCTTAAACTTTTTAAAAATGATCGTATTCTAAAGACATGTCCTGTATAAAATATCGATATTAGCTAATATAGGAGCCTTTGTCTAACATTTGCTTATAACTTTGTCCCATATTTTTGTTCCAAATGTTAATACTTCTTGGAGGTAATGTTTTTTCCAAAATTCGAAGAATTTTCTACATAACTTGGCAACCTCGCACTAAAATGTTAAATTGTTTATATTGCCATATATAGAATTTTCTCAGAAACCCATATGTTTAAAAATATATAAGGTGGTCCATTTAAAAAATGTAATATTTGGCGTGTCCCGTTTTTCTTATTCGATAATTGGTATAATCCATCTGATGTCTCCTTGCAACAACGTCTTTTTCTCCTGACAAAAAGGAGGCTCTAACAATATCAACTTTTTCTGGATTCGTATACATGCTTTCCCATAACATCACACAGAAAATACACTGTTGCTAAACACTGAAATATAACTTTATAAGGTTATACATATATATTACACAAAAATAGTACTTATAAAGTGAACTGAAAACTAAAACAAAATTGTAACAAAATGAAGCGGTGTAGACGTCTTGGGTCATTCCCGTTTCGCCGAATTAATGTTTGTTCTTTTAGTCGTTTACCATCCCGTTATATCATACCAGGTGTGTAATCAGTTGGCAGTAGCAGCTTTTCAGAGGCATTTTATCCGAATAGCGGATGCTAAAGCGGAGGCTAATCTTTGTCACCCTTCGTAACCGTTAGGAACAGGACAGGATAAGTTTTAACAGTGTAGGGATTAATTTTGTTGCTGTTTTGTTAATTTTGGATTAATTTAATATGTCTAGTACCGATTGGCTGCAGAAGTGGCTGAATATTTTGGTTAGAATTTTATTACTTTTTAATACTACCTGTTTTAACTTTCCTAAATGCGTTCTTATCTATTGTACTTAGTGGCAGCTAAACTGCTCAAAGAAAATAGTGACACATAATTGTTCCCAAAAATTTGAAACGATTTTAAATAATAATTCATATCAATCTGATTAGTACGTACTATTAGGTATTTGTTTTTAAGTATGTTTTTTAAAATGGCAACATTAATTAATTTAAAACACAAATTTGTTTTATTTACTATTATTAACACATTTTTTAAATTTTCTGCGCTTCATCCATATTGATACAAAAAATATGGTCACTTTAAAATAACATCGCTATGCCATACAAAAGCAACCTGTTTTTTAAATTATTTTTTTATTGTCGCTCTCTAACACTTGATTTAAATAAAACAACTAGCAATACTAATAGTGCACTGATACAACTTACTGCGGTAATACCGGGTGGTTAGGTTTACGTTTCCCAGTGGTGGCGTAAAAAAACAAGAAGTAAAGTGCAAAGAGAAATAACAAACAGTAAAATTATAATAATAAATCATTTATTATGTAATAGAAATGCAAAATAAATTTGATGTAATAAATGTACTAAGGACATTACAATAACAATTATTACTTGGAGAAAGGAAACTCTGGATGCTGCAACAACCTGGAAATACAAACAAATATACATAACATGTAAAAGAAAGGTAAAACCAATATGGTAACTTACGTTGGGAAAAATTTGAAGTCACACACTCGAGCTTCTTCACCAACCTCAAGATCATCCAAAGCTTTCATATCTACGCCGTCCAAAGAAAAATCGAATACGTCTATGTTCTCTTTGAGTCTAGCTGGAGTAACGCTCTTTGGTATAGCCACGATGTTTCTCTGCAAGAGGTATCGCAGCATAACTTGTGCGTTGGTTTTCTTATGCTTGGTGGCAATTTTCTTGATTGTTTTATCGTTGAGCATATCGGGCAGATTTTTGGGTCTGAAATTAGAATAACAATATTAGCTGCAAAACGAAGTTCTGACTTCGTAAAGATACTTACTCATTTCCAAACTGTGCGGTAAACTTATTATATCCTGGAGACCCCAAAGGAGCATAAGCCACTACAACAAGACCATTTTGTTGGCAGAAATTCACTAATTCTCTTTGTTGTAAATAAACATGCAACTCGATTTGGAGACACGCCGGCTTGATTCTAGCTGATTTTATTACTGTGTCAACCTGCCTGATGTTAAAATTCGATACTCCAATAGTCTTGGTTCTACCAGCATCCACCTGCTCTTCCATTTTCTGAAATAAAAATTAGTGAATCATCAACTTAAGATGTTAATATCTCATACCTTCCAAATGGCTACATGGTCGCTCGGCTCCGTTTGGATTTTCTCTGGCGGTGGTCGATTTTGACCGTCGTCGTGTTTAATTCCAACAGGGAAATGTATCAAATATAAATCAACGTAGTCCAATTGAAGATTTTCCAGTGACTTCTTTATGAACAACTCTACTCTATCCTGGTGTACACCTTGCATTGGAAGCTTAGTGGTTATAAATAGGTCCTCCCGCTTTAGTTTTCCAGATGAGAACCATTCTTGCAGCACACGACCAATAATGTGTTCGTTTTGGTAAACGAAAGCGGTGTCGATGTGGCGGTAACCTATCTCAAGGGCAGCGTTCAGGGCGTTTTCTAGTTCTGCCTCATTAGTGACCTGGAGAAAGATGAAGAAATACTTCAAATAGTAAATCAATGTTAAGTTGTGTGTATTGTTCATTGCTGCTTCTTCATCAAAAAACATATTCTTAACTTAATTAATAACTGGCATGTTTTAAATTTTTTTAATTGAGTTTTGGCCTAATTAAACATTTTTCAGACATTTTGGGCATGTTTATTACAATATATATGTCTAAAAACGCACAAGTCCAAATATTTTTTAAGTAAAAAGCAAAGGAATTATATCTATTACGTGTGCTTTATATCGTCTTGAATTATAAGTAGATACTTAATGAAGATAACGCAAAAATAGTGCTGTATCATTATATTTTATCAAATAATTATTTATTTGATAATACATTACGATTGTCTGTCAATTGTATATCAATTATCAGCTGGTAAAATACCAGCATAAAAATTATGCAACAGAGAAAATGGATATTCTTTTTAAAGATATAATATTATCATATTCTACTTAATTTCACACATTCTCTTTCATAACTACTATTATTGGCTGTCACATCTCTACTTTTTATTAAGGTATTAAGCTAATTCAAACAAATCCTATCAAATGAAGTCAAACAATATTCCTCGATATCAGAAATCTAGGTGTGCAAAAAAATCAAACTACACAGACAAGACTGCTGTTAGTAATGACCCCATATTCGGCGCTCTATCGTTGGGTATAATTCAATTATTATATTCCGAATGTAACGTTAAGTAAGGATCTAAATACCAGGCTAAATAAACTTCATACTTTTCATTAAAATGGCAATGTTTAGATAAAGTAAACGTACGATTTAAACTGAAAGAACCGTTAAATTTGTGTCGTTGAAAACTTCAAATTGGACGTTAGTTACATTATACTGCTGAAAAACCATAAAATAAAAAGAAAATTCTCATCAAATAGCGGGACATTTCTACGTCGAATAATGGTAATATTTGGATGGTTGTTCAACTGAAAGTTGAGGTATTAATAAATGTTACTGTTATCGCTGGGTTCTAGTATTCTTACCTGCCAAGTACCAAGTCCAATGGCGGGCATCTTGAGACCTCCTGGCAGTTCCTTAAATATTTTCGCTGCCATAGCTGCTGTAAAGTTAACTACAAACAATACCGTCCACAGCTTGAGTTGAACTAGATGAGAATGATATTTTTTATATATAAATTATTATCAGTGGCACAGTACCTCCTCAACAATAAGGACAATAAATAAAGTACCTACTAGATAAGATGCAAGATTTACAGTTCATACAAAGATTTGAAATAACGATAAGTATAAAGATATCTAGTATTTACTGTATTGATTTTTTATGACGTACAGAAAATACATTGCATGTTTTTTTATACAACACCTCTACAATGCGGTCTTAGTGGATAATATCTTTCAACTTGCAATTTTTCAATGGAGACACATGTGTTAGTGATGCATTTCAAAAATTACTGTGATTTTAAATATGAAATCACATATTTTTAAGTACTGACATATTTTGAACAATAAAACACTAATAATATGTCCTATATTTTTATTTATTACTGCGTAACATATCAGTATCTTAACTATAAAGTATCCACAGGGTGATTTTGAATAGAGTAGCACAAACGCTACCAGTACATCTAGATAAAAAATAGAAAAAATAAGGCGAATGAACTAAATATACCTTATACAAAAGTTGCACTCCTGAGGCATTACAGGGTCTTGAATGTTGTAGAGCCAACCAATATTTCCTTCAATTTATCTTGAACGATGTGGCGTAAATCATTTATATTTGGTACAGACATTTGTCCAGTGCGGACACATACTTTCTATTAATATTGTTTAAATATATCCACCAGAGGCGCTGCTGTCGACTACATGCAACATATTACTCCAAAGAATTTTTCACCCTGTATGAAAATACATATCTTATTTACATTTTCGAACATAACAACTAAAAACATACATTTTTTTTCTTGCATTTTTTCGATAAACGCGATAGTTTTTTTAGATAATTTACGAAAAACAAACTTCGGAAATTTTACAGCGCCAATGGTTGCAGTAACAAACACATCAACACACCATTCTGTAATAGCAAAAAAAAAACGCCTTTCTCGTGAAGTAATTTTAATAAATTTATTTAGGAGTATTCTTTATGAAACAGAAATTACTTTAAGTGTCTAATTTAAGTAATAATATCTAATTTAATACTACCTACTGTAATCTCGAATGTAATACTACAACATAACGTTATTTTAAAGTAAAAATTTTATAAGGAATATTTTGAAAGTAGTTCCCATTTTCCTTTGAACACAATCTAACTTGATTTGTTTGAGGATTACCTGCTTAAATTGATAAGTATGGGAATACTTCGCCAACATCATAGTTGCTCCTGGTAAATCGGAAACAAATTTGCTGAGTAAACAATTTGCTATTTTTGTGTTGATGTGTCAGTGTCATCAACGGTTTCAAATAATAGTTGTTTAATTATGGCAAATTTTACTAACAATGAGTATGTTGATATGCTCCAAGTATTTTTTGAATGTCACAAAAATTGTGCTGCCGCAACAAGATTGTACCATGAGAAATATCCAAATCGCCGAGTTCCCCACAGGCAAACTGTTTCAGCTGTGGAAAGAATGTTGCGAGCAACTGGCCAATTTCAACCTAAGCGCGAGGGTAATGGACAAAAACGGTATATCAGAAATGTAAACCTTGAAGAAGCTATACTTATCAATTTAGAAGAAAATTCTCAAACAAGTACAAGAAGACTGGCTACACAGTACAACGTTTCGCAAAGTCTTGTTTGGAACTTGATTCATGATAACCTTTTACGCCCTTTTCACCACCAGCCGGTTCAAGAATTAACTGCAAATGATTTACCTGCAAGAATTGTTTTTTTGCCAGTGGTATCTTAACATGTCCAGACACGACTTAAATTTTTTATCTCATATTTTGTTCACCGATGAGGCATGTTTTCAAAGACTTAGTTAACCATCGTAATAGTCATACATGGTCTAATGAAAACCCCCATGAAATATGTCCATCAAGATTTCAGCACAATTTTAGTGTAAATGTATGGTCAGGAATTGTTGGAGATGCTCTAATAGGTCCATTTATTCTTCCCCGTTTGCTGACAGCTCTTGAATGTCTTCGGTTTTTAAATGAAAATCTCCCAATATTATTGGAGGATATACCACTAGGTGTACGACAAGTTATGTGGTACATGCATGACGGGGCTCCGGCACATAGTACCTTAGCTGTCAGGCAATGGTTGAATTTAAATTTTCCGGGACGTTGGATAGATCGTGGTGTCAATGCACCCGTTAGTTGGCCTGCCCGTTCACCGGACATTACCCCACTTGATTATTTCTTATGGGGACAACTGAAAAGTCTTGTTTATGCTACTCCTGTTAATACTGTTGAATTGCGTCAAAAAATCTTTCTCGCAGCTGACGATATTCGTAACAACGCATAAATATTTGCAAGAGTACGTCATAATTTTAATCGTCGTGTTAGATTGTGTTTACAGAAAAATGGGAACTACTTTGAAAATATTCTTTAGAAACTTTTTACTTTAAAATAACGTTATGTTCCTTAGTATTACATTCGAGATTACAGTAGGTAGTTTTAAATTAAAATTTATTATTTAAATTAGACACTTAAAATAACTTGATTTGTTACATAACGAATACTTACTGTTCCTTCAAAATAAATTTATTAAAATTACTTTACCAGAAAAGCGTTTTCCTTTAGCTATTAATGAGTGGTGTGTTGATGTTTTTGTATTACTGCAACCTGACTGCAACCATTGGCGCTGTAAAATTTCCGAAGTTTGTTTTTCGTAAATTATCTAAAAAAACTATCGCGTTTATCGAAAAAATGCAAGAGAAAAAAAATGTTTGTTTTTAGTTGTTACGTCCGAAAATGTAATTAAGATATGTATTTTCATACAGGGTGAAAAATTCTTTGGAATAATATGTTGCATGTAGTCGACAGCAGCGTCTCTGGTGGATATATTTAAACAATATTAATAGAAAGTATGTGTCCGCACTGGACAAATGTCTGTACCAAATATAAATGATTTACGCCACATCGTTCAAGATAAATTGAAGGAAATATTGGTTGGCTCTACAACATTCAAGACCCTGTAATTTCTCAGGAGTGCAACTTTTGTCTAAGGTATATTTAGTTCATTCGCCTTATTTTTTCATCTAGATGCACTGGTAGCGTTTGTGCTACTCTATTCAAAATCACCCTGCACATATAAAGTACCTATTAGATAAGATGCAAGATTTACAGTTCATACAAAGATTTGATAACGATAAGTATAAAGATATCTAGTATTTACTTTATTGATTTTTATGACGTACAGAAAATACATTGCATGTTTTTTTATACAACACCTCTACAATGCGGTCTTAGTGGATAATATCTTTCAACTTGCAATTTTTCAATGGAGACACATGTGCTAGTGATGCATTTCAAAAAGTACTGTGATTTTAAATATGAAATCACATATTTTTAAGTACTGACACATTTTGAACAATAAAACACTAATAATTTATTTATATTTTTATTTATTAATGCGTAACATAACAGTATATAACTCGAACAGCGATATTAATTAATAATTACACTTCTATTTTGGAAATGGAAACTCTGGATGGTTCAGTAACCTGCAACAAATTGAAATATTACGCTTGTTCCTCAATATTATTATTATTTAATATTGGATTTATAGAAAATAATAATATCAAATGTGTTAAGAATTTGTAAAATTTCATCAATACACAGGGTAGGCCATTTTAATCCCTCCACCCGAATATCTCTGTCCAGGTAAAATTTAGTGAAAAATGTTTCAGACAAAAGTTACTGAACTCGGAGGGGGACATGTTATGGTGACATTGCCTATGACCTTGAAGGTCATTTTCAAGATCATTTCAAAGTCAATTCTGTTTTTTTAAATAGGAACCCCTATTTTTGACCCCGGATTCGTAAAGAGCAGGAAACTCTATGTTGAGATAATGTATCATATGTGGAGTCGGTTGACATGTAAAGGTCAGTTTTATTTTTTCCTCAATATTTGCAACCGAATGTTCTGCCACAGGTAAGGTTTAGCATAAAATATTTCAAATAAAAGTTGCTCAACTTCGAGGGGGACATATTATGGTGACCCTGTCTCTGCTACAGGGCGTGATTTTCAAAGTCATCTCAAGGTCAATTTTAGTTTTTTTACAAGAAACAGTAGTTTTGACATCGTATTCGAGTACAGCGGAAAATTCTACATTCAATTACACTCGGGTGCAAAGATTGAGGAAAAAATAAAATTGACCTTTACATGACTGGGTGGTCAACCGACCAACCATGTATGGTACATCATCTGAACGTAGAATTTCCCGCTCTTTCCGAATCCGAGGTCAAAAATAGGGGTTCCTATTTAAAAAACAAAGTTAACCTTGAATTGACCGTGAAAATGACCTTCAAGGTAAAGGGCAATATCACTATAACATGTTTCCCTCCGGGTCCAGTAACTTTTGTCTGAAATATTTTTCACTAAACATTACCTGGGCGGAGATATCCGGGTGGTGAGATTAAAATGGCCTATTCGGTATAGACAGAATCAGAATTAACAGTTAAAATAGATAAAATAGTGCCATAACTTACGCAGGGACTATCTTAAAATCGCATACACGCGCTTCCTCTCCAACTTCAAGGTCATCCAGAGCTTTTACTTCTGCGGCGTCCAAAGAAAAGTCGAACACATCTATATTCTCTTTGAGTCTGGCAGGAGTAACACTCTTCGGTATGGCTACAATATCTCTCTGTAATAAGTACCGCAACATGACTTGAGCGTTAGTTTTTTTATGCTTGGAGGCGATTTTCTTGATGGTTTCATCGTTAAGCATATCTGGCAACTTCCTGGGTCTGTAATTAAGGATCGAAATAAATTCATAAATGGAAAATGATATTTTGGCTTTTTAAAATTACTCACTCTGCTCCAATCCGCGTCAATAGCTTGTTATATCCTGGAGAACCCAAGGGAGAATAAGCAACTACAACAATTCCATTTTGGTGGCAAAATTTGACCAACTCCCTTTGTTGCAAGTAAACATGAAGTTCGACTTGCAAACATGCTGGTTTTATTCTAGCAGACTTTAATACCCGAT